AATCCCCAAAAGATGGGGTACCGGGCGTAGGAGCGCTTGCCGTACTTTTTGGACACGCCGACCGCGCCAAAGCCACGCTGGTGGATGCGCAGATAGCTGGCTCCAGCATGCAACAGGTTAAATACCTCACCGAATTGCACATACTGCTTCATGACGTCCGCACTGAGGTTGAAAACTGACTGTACCTCTTCACGTTCGGTAGCTGTTCGGACAGGCCAAAGACCCTGGAATTCTGCATTGTGTAGGGAGAGGCAGACGGGGATAGTTTCCGGAAGCAAGTAAAGGGGTGCCAAAGAGCCGTGGTAGTCATTGATATGATACAGATCAATGGGGAAGCGCTTGCATACAGCTGCAATACACTGATTCCATGCCGAATAATAGACCGCACTTTCCAGATCGTCCATGCGCGCGGGGTACGGGTTGGATTTCGTTTGTTGGCGGAAGACCGGAGCATCGAGGAGGATATAAGTGATGTTATTCAGGTAGTGGTATTGCACTTGCACCTCATATTCCGTGCCCATAAGCGTCACCAGAATTGACTCGGCTGGAGTGTCAACAGGGTACTCGACATCCCCAACGCAGGGGACCACCCAAATGAGATCCTGGTGGCTAAGGGTCTTGCCCATCAATTGGGCCATCACTCCAAGACCTCCAATTTTGATCTTTATCGCCCAGTCTTCGATATCATACTCCATGGTGGCAATCAAGACCATGCGACGCTTCCCAGCGGCTGCAGCAGCGCTAAAAGGGGTGGCAGTTTGGAGCAAGCCTGATTTATTGGCCAGTCGCATGATGGGGTTGAGACGGTTATACTCCCCACCTGGAGCTTTCTTTTCGAACCTTCGGCGCAGGGCAATTGCAAAGCCAGACTTCTGGTCCACACCGACCTGGTTGAACTTGACTTTGTAAAAGGACTTCATGAAGACCCAGAAACATGCCGCAGCTGAGAGAGGAGGGACAATCCAGAATAGCACATACATCGCAATCTGCGTCGCTTGATGTCCTACCGGTACCAGTTGGAACTTCTGAGTGGCATCATCGATGATCAGCTTCCAAGAGATGTATGGCGAAGGCGGATGCGATGTAATATTGATCACAGTTTCGGAGAGGGACGATGGAGGCATCCGGTCAAGGACGGAGTCGTTATCAGCATCGCCCATCACCCATCCTTCATCCGGCGAACCATCCGGGTTCATCCCCCAGATGCTGACCTGCCCGATTGCTGGCCACTCATAAGTGAAATGGTACTTCCACAGCCCATCCTCTGGATCCAGGTGTATCTCGCTCTCCAACCCAGCGTCGTAGCCGTATTCATTGTAGGGACCTTCCCAGAAGATGTGGGGAAAGCGTCGAGGGCCCTTCTTCCAATCTGTATCACCTTCCTGCACGTAATCGCTGCTACCTGTCCATTTGCTCCAATATTCAGCGCGGACGTGGTACCCGTCCCAGGCTTGCTTGCTCGTGCCGGTCCATGATAACTCTGTGATGGTAGTGTTTCCACCTGTGTAATCCATCCAGTCTGAATAAGAGGAGCCCCAGTTCGTGGAGTATCGCCACTTGTCTGCACCAGCAGCGTGATGTTGGATGTAAAGCGAGCCATTTTCGTATTTGTGAAGCAGGCTGGTGGAGTAATTGGCGGTCGTATATATCATGGGGTTATCAATTTGGCCCACTCGCAGAAGAAAGTGATCAACAGAATTGGTGGTCTCGTTCTTGTAGGTATTAGTGGCGTTGTTCACGGTTATGCGATGAATACCATTGTACACGCCAGTCAAGTTCCCCTGCCATACCCAGGCGCTCGGAATAAAGCCAGACCAGTCGCTGCCGGTCTCGTTGAGTGTAGCGGTCTTGCAACTGACACTGTCTGTGTCTATCGTTGGAGTTTTCCCGGCCTCGGTGGAGGAGTTGACGTAGATGGAACTCGTTACCGAATCACAGTTCATGGCCTCGGAGAAGTAGATCTTAATTTCAACCGATTCATCCTCATTCGGTGCAACAGTGGATCGCACAGGCGCATCGTGCCCCGGGGACAAAGCTGTGATCATAGGCCGGGGCTTGGTAAACTTGGCACGTGGGACATACGCGCGGAACTCGTAAGCCTTCATCGTCATGTTAGAAAGACAACCGTTATAGGCCGTAGATCCATTGAGGCCAAGCTTTTGCGGACTGCTGCTCAACTCATGTTCATCAAAGGGGTAGAAAAGGTTCTTAACCCAGGTGCCGGTGTCGAAAGGAGAAATCAGTGCGCTGTCATTATCACTGCAATCGAAGGTGTAGTCGATTGTCCGATTAGTGTTATGATACACCAACCAGACCGGCTGGTTGTTGTCGGTTCCCAAGTCCTGGAAGTCAGAGCTGATGCCACGGTAGACTGACCAGAGACCGGTTTCAGTAGCTGTTCCATTGGATCCTGGGTAGTATACATCTTCTGTATGGTTGGACAGTTTGGTGACATTGAAGCCGTCGTTGAGCACGGGGAAGTCGATACGCATCTGGTACATGTGTTTTATGATGTTGCGAGCTGGGTGGGAGGGATCCCGATGATCATACGTTACCGTGATATCCTCGCACGCGTGACGACCCCTTGTAATAGGCCAGTCGTAGAAAGTCGAGGAGTCCAGAGAAAAGCATCCGTGCATGTGCCAGGCAACGGCCGGCGACATGGACTGGCGTCCAAAAATATAATTTGACGCAGTGGCATCCAGGACATAGAACGCCTGTTCTTCTCCCCACAGCAGCAGGGGGATTCCGGGCAGAAGCAAAGTAGTAACGAATTGGCCAAGCAGCTGGCGTTCGGTTCCCTTCTCCAGCGTTGGCCAGCGGAAGACATCTTGATTGGTGACACCATACATGTGTCGGGGATCAAATTCACCTGCATCTATGGTCAGCGTTCTTGTCCTTTTTGTACTCTGAGGCTCGTGGAAATGGGTTACCGGTATTGGGGTTGAGGAAATCGTTCGAGACCAGCATCTCGTTCCAGGCATTGATGAAATCCACCGAGACATCGTATCCGGCGGACAAGCTGCCGTCCATTCCTAAGAACCGTTCGAGATTGCGATAGATCGAATAATGAAATGCGGCGCCATCGATGGCATTCATCCCCTCCTCTCGCAGGAAGTATTGCGGCTCCGAGGTATTCGTGAGATTCATGGCAGCCTCAATCGAGGATGGATATTGATCAGGTTGCCGACCCCGCCCTAAATAGACTGATCCGAAGGTATTTCCTCCAGTAATCTCTCCAGCTATGAAGAAATTCTCCTTTCCTACTGCCCGGGCGCATTCCCGATAAGCAGCTGACATATCACCCAAAGCATCAACTGTAGCCTGCGTGGCTTTGTCGTAGCGGAAACCATCGACGTCAAGCTGGTATATCACCAGACACGAATGGCGAATCAGTCTGTCTCGGACTGACGGGCGCCACTCACGCAGGCGGTCCTGCACGGATGCAAACTTGGCCAATTCTCGCTCCCAGTCTGGAAACACTCCGAAGGCCTCGACATCACCGTATTGATCGAAATCGCTGTCGTAGCAACCAACTAGGGAGTCGGTGACCGTCTTCTGGACGGGATAACCATTTTCATACCAAAATCGGGGATAATCGCAGGTCTCGTTATAAGTGTTACCAAAATCGAAATCCACGTATCGCCGAGCGGTCTTCCATTCGACTTTATGCTCGTCCACTGTAAAAGGTGCCGAGGTATTTAGGTAACCCTCAAATCCGATCAGATCTCCCATTCTATGGAAGCCTCGTTAGATGGTGTTCTTTGAGCTGTGATTGTCCATCGCATGCGGATTAGCAATGGGGGATAAGAGGAGCACATACGTCGCAAGCGTGTTGTCGAAAATAACGTACATGCCACGATTGTGGATCTCGGTGATTGCATGTCGCCATTGTGCCAGATTTCCGTAATGTCCGTCGAGCAGAGTCGTGTCCAGTGCTGAGTAGCCATCATATCCCCAGGGTTGGTTCATGAGAACTGTGCCAGCCAGATAAATTCCCTAGAGCCCAAACTGATCAGCAAGTTGACCTCACCTACCCGATATCTAACAATCGGGTTCCGTTCCCTTGACCGACCTTGATGCCCATTCCCTGCAGATAATCAAGCGTATCGATAAGACCAGCTACATCTCCGCCATGACGCATCTGTGTTGACCAAATATCGTGCTCCCATACTGAATTGTTGTAATTATCGTTCGTCGGATCTCCGTTCACAAATCGATCAAGCATCAGGGTGTAAAACGGGAATCGCCAATTATCCGGAGACGGAAAATAATCACCGGTGTGGTTTGGCCATTGACCCCAATAATCTGCAGGATTTGTCGCAGTTTTATTCTGGTTCAAATTGTAATCTGCGAGTGATGCATTGTAGGGCCAAGCGACAGTCTGCCATGCCGTGGAGGCAAGGACGAGGCCAGCGAGCACCCGCTTCATGTTGGCTGAAGCGCAACAGGCCTCTTCTCGCAGTTCAATCACAAAAGGCCAAGCGTTTCTACGAGCCAGTCATAAGTACGCACTTTCGAAAGGCTTACAGAATTCGAGACAGAAAACGAGAGAAAATAATAGGGGTGCCTTGTTTCCGAACAAGCAAAGTTAGACAAGGACCAAGAGTAGCGACCGAGTGGTCCGGAACGAACGGCGTGTAGAGGTGAAAACGAGTGAAGAAGCAGAATGCAAACGAAGGATGAACGATTAGGCGGATGAAGTCTTCAGTTGCGAATGGTTGAAAAATAAAAACGACGGAAAAAAAATAAAAGTAAGACAAGTCAGAGGAAACGAAGAAGACAAATATGGGGAGACCAACGCCAACTGCGCCCCCAGCAAAAGAACGACTGATAAGTGTTCTGGTGGCTTCCAGCTTGTGTCCATCACATATCGATAAGGCGACTTGCCCCAGTGATAAGTCTTGGCCAGCACTGGCCTATCCTGCTGGGCCTAAATCGAGCCACTGATTACGAGGCCATACGTACTCTCCAGGTGTTCCGCACGGCCTCATGGCAACATGGTTGAGTACCCACGCCCGAACACCAAATTTAGCCTGGTCAATCCTCTGATCATTCGAAATCTCAATGTCAATCTCAAGATCGAGGGCATACGGAGTAGATACTGGGCCCCTTCTCCTGGTTCAAGTCAGGCACTACACAAACTGGCTGTCCTCCATGGTGAACATCCCAAACCCCGCCCGGATAGATTATGGTGGGAAATTGGACAGCTGCCTGGAGCCAACGGCGTGGCAGAATTTTCCCTGCAAGTCCGAGTGGCTTTTTCGGATGTCAGGTTTAGGGGCTGCTCTATTTCGCTGTGCCTGGCCGGGCTCGGACTTATGATTTTAGCCGCTTGGCCGGCAAAGCTTCTATTCGAAGATAGTGGCCGAGTGGATATGAACGCCGTCCTGTGAAAGGCTGTTGTCGGCACTAACCAGGAACTAGCCAGGAACTAACCAACAACTAACCAAGGCATTGACTCCACTGCATCCAAACATCATGACAAGGCATGTGGGGGCCGGCCCGGCAGACTTACGCAATTGCCACTGGACCACGCATGGCCTCGTCACTATCACACCAATCAGCTGTTTGACGCTTGAACGCTCTCCCAGCCGAAAAGTGGGAAGTTAATTTGCCTTGTCCACTTCGCCCTCCAGCGTAGCAGTGCCCTCGCGATAATCAGTCAATCTCCCGCGAAAATCCCAGGGGATCTTCGTGTTTAACGCTGCTACCCGTTCTCGAATGTTCGGGTGAACTGGAGTACTAGTAGAGTATAGTACCATCGAGCGTTACAAATTTAGATGTCGTCTTTATTTTTGGTTCTCGTTGGGTGTTGACTAGTATGATGGATAGGGCTCCGAGCACACGATGTGACCGAGGGTGGGGGAGAGACTACCTATTTATGGTACTTCCGGCTTCGACCGGCCTTTTTCTGCAGCCCCCGGTCTGGCGCTCTTATCTCTTGCTATAGCTATCGGGGGTTCCGCCCCCCTGAGTCGCGTTGCTTTGACTTGTCATTCTTTCTTTTCCCCGTTATTGCAACGGGACAGCGCACCCGGCCTCAACATCATGCTCAGCGGCCCGTTTGGCTGGATCGCGTGAAATTGAAACGCTTAAAACACATTCGTTAGAGTAAGCTGTTGCTTGTCATAATTCATTCGGTCACCCCAAACCCACCCAACGGGAAGCAGAACCTCCACAAGGGGGCATAGAGGGTTAATCGAGGGTATTTACGGCCAATTATGTTTCGAAAATTCGCTTCCCTCCGGGGCCAACGGCTCATGGCCGTCTGTCTCCTGTGCTGGTGCGTTTCGCTAGCGACAGCTGCAAGCACAGAAGCATGGAAGACGCGATCTATCTACCAGACAATGACCGATCGGTTTGCCCTCACCAACGGCTCGACCACCGCACCATGCAATACTACGGAAGCCAATTACTGTGGCGGGTCTTGGCAAGGGACGATCGATAAGCTGGACTACATTCAAGGCATGGGGTTCGATGCCATCATGATCTCCCCCGTAATTAAAAACATTGCGGGGCGATCTAAGGATGGGGAGGCCTACCATGGGTACTGGCCTCTGGATCTATACGAGATCAACTCTCATTTCGGGACCCGGGAGGAACTTTTGAAGCTGAGCGAGGAGATCCATGCACGCGACATGTACTTGCTGCTGGACGTCGTCATCAACAACATGGCTTATATGACAGATGGCGAGGATCCTGCGACAACTATTGACTACAATGTCTTTCCTCAATTCAATGGATCCTCATACTTCCACCCCTACTGCCTCATTACGAACTGGAACAACTATACGGATGCACAGTGGTGTCAGACTGGTGACAACTACACCGCACTCCCGGATCTCTACACGGAGCATACTATAGTGCAGGACATCCTAATGGATTGGAGTAAATCGGTTATTAGCAACTACTCCGTTGACGGGCTACGAATCGACGCTGCCAAGTCCCTCACTCCCAGCTTTCTGCCTACATATGCGGAAACCGTGGGCGGATTCATGACTGGCGAAGTTATGGATTCGAACGCCACCAACGTGTGCAAGTATCAGAAGGACTACCTCCCAAGTCTTCCCAACTACCCCCTCTATTACTCCATGATCACGGCCTTCCTGAACGGAGAGCCTGCGACCTTGCTCGAGGAAATCGCAACGATCAACGAGCTCTGCACGGACACGTTCGCAATGGTCAATTTCATCGAAGACCAAGACGTGGACCGATGGGCCTACATGAATGACGACATTATGCTAGCCAAAACTGCATTAACCTTTATGATGCTCTACGATGGCATTCCTTTGGTCTACCAAGGTCTGGAGCAGGCCATTGCCTATTCCAACCGAGCGGCCCTCTGGTTGACGGATTTCGACACCAATGCGACGCTGTATAAACACATTGCGAAACTTAATGCCATCCGCAAACATGCCATCAACCTTGATTCCAGTTACATCAACTCAAAAACATACCCGATTTACCAGGGAGGCAGCGAGTTGGCTTTCTGGAAGGGCACCTACGGACGCCAAGTCATCATGGTCTTATCTACGGCGGGCTCCAATGGTTCGGCCTATACTTTGACGCTACCTATGAGCTATGGGGCTAGCGAGGTGGTCACGGAAGTGCTGAATTGCGTCAACTATACGGTCAACACATACAGTCAATTGGTCGTGGACATGGACAAGGGCGAGCCTCGAGTCTTCTTTCCCGCGGCAATGATGCCGGGAAGTGGGCTGTGTGGCTACAATACCTCCAATGTGACGTACTCTGAGCTGAGGCTTGCTGCTGTGGGTTCTTCGTCGTCTGGTGGAAGCCACTTTGTCATACCGTCTGTTTTTGCTTCAATTTTCATGGCGCTGGTGACTTTTTTGGCATTCCGGATATAAGTCATGGCTTTTCTACTCTGTTCGATACCAGCAAATAATATAACGTCCTATGAATATGTATATGATTTTAAGAGCGGGAATTTATATTTCAACATTAATCACATTCCTATTTATCCTGTCCTACGATAATTACCTATGAAGCATTCCGAAGCACAGTCTCCTCAGCCCGTATCCCTGCCCACCTCCAACAATTCTCCCACAACTTCTCCTGTGTCTCACGATTCTCACTGATGGCCGCAGGTACCCCTTCCTTCGTCCCAACATAGTACCCGCGTTTCCCGCAGAACTCAACCCCAACACTCACAGCCACTAAATCCCGTCCAGCGTCCTCAACGGTACGGAACATCGTAGTCATGTACTTTAGAACCGGCATCAAAAACTCAACAACCCTAAACAACCACCGCGCCGACCTTTTCTGCCCCACTTGGGCCCTTGAACTCGGGAGACCACCCGGGTCCATAGCCAATGCAGTGATACCCGATAGCTGATCGTCCTGCAAAAGCCAACGTCAATTTTTACCCTTCTCATGGGAAATTGAAACAACATACCTCTTTCAACCTGCGATTCAAATCCATTGCCAGCGTAACATTCGCCAGCTTTGCAGTACCATATCTCTGAAACCCTTTATCATGCACAAGATCTGCCGGATCTGATGGCGGACGCACCAAATCGTCCATATTCTCCGGAAACCCCGGCCTTAGAGAACAAAGCGGGTTAGGTTTTTCGGGGTAATGAGTGACCGAGCCAAGGAGGACTATGCGTCCGGATATCTTGTTCATACTCCCTAAGAGCTTCAAAATTAAGAGGTAGTGAGACAGATGGCATACTTGGAAGGTAGCCTCGTAACCGTCCGTCGTGAAGACCTGTCCTGCTTCGAAGGAGAAGGTGGCGGCGTTGCAGATGATTGCTGAGATGGGTGGAAGTTTCTTGGAGGAGATTTTGTCGGCTAGTTGATCTGCGAAGGAGCGCACGCCGGCGAGATTGCCGAGATCAAGGACCTCCAGGTGGAAGTTCGCTTTGGGGTAGCCGGCGACTAGGTTGAGAAGTTTTGCGGTGTTTGAATCATGCTCTGGGGAGGTGTTCCGGACGGTGCCGATTATGGTCACTTGGGGATGGAGGGACAATAAGGCTTGGATGAAGCCTAGGGCAAGAGAACCGTTTGCGCCTGTGATGAGCACTGTTCCGTCCATGATGGAATTGATGGATAACCTGGAGACTTGACTTCAGGGGGAACGATACAACGAAGTCTGATGAAGCAAGGGGAGGACATGATGCTTTTATATTCGTCCTTCATGCCACCTTTCCTAGTAAAAAATCTCTCATACATGGCAGAATCTATCTATACGACATCAACAGAGCACATTGAGCCAATCACGAAGCTAATTCTATTCAAGATAAGCATTAAGCCTCTTTGAGCAGGCGCAGGTCTTGGCAAAGTTTGATAATAGATGCTTTGTCAGCCATGTCAGCTGCCCAGCTTTATCTCAAAATGTCATCACAAATATTATGTGGCTCACCCTTGAGAGAAAATATTTCATTTATTGTCTTTGCTCCAGGATGGCTGAGCGGGAAGTACCTTTCATCAATGTCACGCTTTTTCCGAAAGAGAAGGCTGCATTGACAGAGTCACAACAGCAGATTACTCGCTCACATGCCGCTCGCTCTGCACATGCCCGCGTCCGACATCGGCGGATGATGGAGTATCAGGCACAGAAACGGGGGAGGAGAGACACACGAGGCAGTGTTTACAGTAGTTATCCTAGCTTCGGAGACAGTGTATCGCCTGGAATTGTCCCAATCCTCTCGGCTGATAGGCGAGACCCTTTTCATTGCTTTGCTAGGGGCTTAACCTCATTAGAGCAATTTCTCTTTGATCATTGTATGGCCTCCAAGTCCAGAACATGCTAAGTTTACTGACTTATATTGAAGATGTCAACGTCGTCATCCCCCTGATGCGCTGCAATGAAAGCGCAATCTTCTTCGCGCAGCGCATGATAAGACTCTGGGTTCCTACTGCTATCACCGAGTCAAGCCTTCTTGATATTATCTTGCTTGCGGCGTGCCGTCACTTGTCTATTGCATATAGACAGGGGTCGCAGGAACAGCAGCGCATCTTCCAACAACTTACCTTTCAGTATAAATCCCAGAGTCTGCATGCACTAAGGCATGCTATATCGGCTGAGATGCCGTTGCTGAGTGACTCTACGGTCGCGAAAGCTATTATGCTAGCGTATGATGAAGTAAGTGCCTCTACTTTGGCCTTACGCGGAGAGTGCTAATAGGGTATAGTTATATGTTCGAGATACAAAAATGCTCAAGCATCACGTGGACGCAGCAGTGCAAATGGTCACGCTGAAAGGCGGGCCCCAGACACTTGGACTTGATGGACTCATGGTGCATTTCCTTTTCAATCTGATTACCAAGACGAGGGGTGACTTGGAACTGCAGGTTAGGACACCCTGGTAAGGGTGAGAGTGTTAGGGTTCGTTGTATCGATTACTATAACAAAAATACCAATACCCGTAGAATTATAAATCCCCGATTGGCTATTCATCATAGGAATTACGTCCATTCATATTTCTCGTGTCTGATTAAATAATACTTCGTAAGACAAAGAGATCTGCTCTCTGGCTGATGTCAGATGATGGCAGTGGTCCACCCTCCGCCGCAGATCCACTTTTGTCCGCAACTCAACCGCAACGCATAAGCCGGAGGCTAATAATTTCAAGACCCCGCAACCACCGCAGTCGAATTACTCTAACGAGAGCGGACGTAATCATGTCCCTTCGAAAAACATCTTGTCTATCATGTGTTGCAGCAAAGCGTCGGTGCGACCTGGAAAGGCCCACTTGCGCCCGCTGTCGGAAGAAAAACGCTGCGTGTCAGTACCCATATCCGCCTCCACCGAATACACAGGATCAGATTGCAAGCTCCAGCACTACAAGCGACTCTCATTTCTTGGGAGTCAGCGACATCATGATCGTAGATAGCTGCATAGACCGATCTACGATCCTCTATCCCGGAGAGGAATATATCGACCCACTGCTATGGTTCCCGGACGGTCCGACGAGCCCCGCTCAGGGCTGGGCCGTAGAACCGGATGAGTGGTTGTCTCAGACGAGGGCAATAGGTGGACTATCGCCCTCATTGCTGCCACGGCTGGAACGCAGGGTCTTGGAGTTTTGGCCCCGTGTTAATGACACACAAACTTGGCGTTTCTGCAGCCAAACGTTTCTAGGCTATGTCGATCACTTCTTGAACACTGGCACACTGCCTGTCGTTGAGTCATCCACCGATTCTAAAGGGGCACTTTCTGCTGTTCTCCGGGAAGCCTACGGGGTGTGCGCCGCATACCGTACCTGCCAGCATGCAGCCCAGCCTTTCTACCTCCAACTGTTGAAGGCAGGCATTAATAATGCGGATATGAGTAACCTACCGCAGGCGGAACTGCAGGATCAACTGGATCACCTCCAGGCCTTAATTCTCTACTTTATTATCTTCCTCGCGGGTGGTGTTGGTGATCAGTCTTTGTTTGTCCAGTTGGACTACAAGTTAGCACAGGGCACAGCCGACCTAGAACGGAGAGAATTGGAACTTCGGCACACATCCTCCTCAAGCCATTTGAAGAGCAAGGACCTCTGTGAAGATGCCCGGCGACTTATCTTGGTATCCTATTTGGTGCGTGCTGTCCATGCCGTGGTCCACTTTCACAGATGCGACTTTATCAAATATCTTGCTGGGCTGCCCGTCTCCACTCAATCATGCAAAAGCCTGTGTTTTGGTGATCAGGTTGATGGAGGGCAATTGCCTACGCAATCGACATCCAGAATCGTGTCGTACGATGAGCTCGTGGGTGTCTGGGAACAGGGAGGGCTGCTTCATGTGGATGACTTTAAGTTCCTTTTGCTGGTTGCGTGCAAAGGGTTGGACACTGTGCAAGGGAAGATACTGGGTACTTGATTATAATCAATCTGCGTAAAATACATTTAGCAGGTAGTGAGAATGGTAATTTTTCTCTTAGAAGAGTGAATCGCTGGTCAGCATGCTACCTGTCAAATCGGAAGAAATGGAGACTCGCTCGTATTTTTCAAGAGATGACAGGACATTGACGGGGCCATGCGGGTCAAGCCATTGCGGAGGAATGTGGGTCCCATACAGCCCATCATTTCTAAAGATATTGTAAGCTCCCCAACTTGCTTCCGAATATAAAGGTAGAAAATGCTACTGCACTGGCGTGATTATCCATTCAGTCAACTCAAGACATCTGGTTCTCTTCCAAATACTGTTCTTCAATATGCAGTCCACTCAAGCAGCAGTCATCACACTATCCTTAGGCCACGCAGCCTTCGTTACCAACCAACCCATCCCGACTCCCCGCCACGATGAAATCCTCATTCGCACTGCCGCAGTGGCCTTGAATCCAATTGACTGGATGTTACTTGGAAGCACCCCGTCACCGAACGCAGTCATGGGCCATGACTATGCCGGCACCATTGTCGAGGTTGGACAATCCGCCTCAGAGCAGTACAAAGTCGGAGACCGTGTATGTGGACTCGTCAAGGGAGCAGATAGAACCCGCCCCGAGAGCGGTACCTTCGCAGAGTATATCGTGGCCAAAGCTGCCGTCCAAATTCGCATTCCCGATTGGGTGAGTTTCGAGAATGCAGCCACCGTGGGCGTCGGAGCCATTGCCGCGGGACAGTGTCTTTTTGGTCCATCTGGCCTCAATCTACCATGGCCACGGAAACACACTCTTGAGGAAAATTATGACACCATTTTGATTTATGGCGGAAGCACGGCCTCAGGATGCTGGCTGATTCAAGTTGCGAAACTGTTGGTTCTCCTCCTTGCTATGTTCCGTTGAAGGACAACAATCTAACCTCGAGCACCAATAGAGCCGGATACACTGTTCTAACGACCTGCTCGCCGAAGAACTTTGACTTAGTGCGTGAGTACGGCGCTGATGCAGTTTTTGATTATCGCGAACCCGGATGTGCGCAACAGATCCGAGAGCATACAAGCAATACATTGGGAATTGTATGTGATGCTGTGTCAACACAGGAGTCAGTTCGCATCTGCGAAGAAGCCATCAGTGATAAGGGTGGCTTGTATCACTCTCTACTCCCAGCGGAAATGGGTCGTGTAGACGTGAAGTCCACTTTCGTCAATTGCTGCACGGCTCTTGGTGAACCATTCGAGTACGGACCAGATTGCATGGTTATTCCCAGGATGCCGGCGGAATTTGAATTTGCCCAGAGATGGGCCGGCATAGTATCTACTCTATGGTCTGAGGAGAAGATCAAAACACTGGTTGTTGATAAGCGAACTGGGGGGTTGAGGAAAGTTCTTGAAGGACTGGAGGATTTGAAGAAAGGCACCGTTAGCGGCAGGAAGCTGGTCTATACGGTTTCGGATAATTAGTCTTTGCGGGCATTTGTCGGTTTTGTGTAATAGCTTCGAGATATTTGAAAGTGATGCTCCACAAGCATAGCTCTAGATCCATGGATAACAGCCACTAGCAGCTCAGTTGAAGCCAAATCTAGACCCTGCACCCCCAAGACTCAAAGAGGCAACCAATGCAGTAGTTCCACTTCTCGTCAGCTTCTTCCTCCCCATACCATTCCCGCAGCAGCATATCATATATATACAATATAGCGAAACAGGTGTTCAAATAATCCTTTAAGCGGACTCTGATATCTTCGCTCTCCCCCTTCAACGGATCAGTAATACCCTCATCCTTCAAGCTTGCATCAAAACCCTCCTCACACCGTTGCTGCAAAGGCCACATATCCGTGACCCCAAAGTGACTCCAAAACTCCCGATGCGGAACATTCTGCGTCGGATAATCGTAGTCCGCAAGAGTATGACGTGCCCAGTACTGAAATGTTTGCGTTTCCATAAGTGAAGCTACGTTCCCGTCGTCCCCTTTTAACCGTTTCTGCGTGACCAGCGCATCCATCAGGTTAACCATGGCATAGATCGTCAACGCCGTCTCCGCAACTAGTTCCACTCCGAATGCATGACCCCAGTGGATATTTGCCAAGGTATGCAAAGGTACCTGGGGATGGCGCGAGAGTGTTATCAGAGCGGAAAAAGCTTCTATTGACATTTGCCTTGATAGGGGATCATTCTTTTTCGCGCTTGCGGATATAATGATCAGCATTTTGACTGCGTCTGCGAGGTCCCCGTCTGCGCTGCAGTAGCTTATAGGGTAATTGTCGTCGTTAGAGCTAGCGCGGTCGATCCAGTATTGGATGTCTCGGTGCTTGGTGGATAGAGGGTTATGCAGGGCGGAGTTTCTTTGATGGGGCCCGAGGCCGAACTGGCGTTCGGGATAGGATAGTAGATCATCAGATAGGAGGCCGTCCGAAGGGACAGGGTCAAGTGGTTTGGATTCTTCGGTGCGTGAGAATTCGCGGATTGCCTTGGTAAGGGTGCGGCGGAAGTGGTTCAGGTCTGACGACTCGGTGGGTTTATTGCGGGCGAAGAAGTCGGTGCGTCGAGGTGTGAAATGAGGATTGCATCTTATGATGTTTATGTGTGCGGCTGCTGTGTTCCATGGTACTTTGTGATCTAGGTGCATGGTGAGTGACTGGCTGCCTTGCAAGTGGGGGAATGTTGATGGAATTTCAGAAGCTACATTGATTTCGGTCGTGCAGGGTCCAATGACATGATGCGGGGCTTTTCTTGGCTTTCAGGCTATTTTTGGTCATAAGTCCCCTGAATCTTCTTGATTAAGATTGTCTGACTCTGTGCCAGGTGCTCTATCCAGGTAACAAATTGACATTCCCTAACAAATCCCAGTGCACCAAATTATCCTACGCTTACGCACATCCTTATTTACTGAATGCGACTCAGCCACTCTATAGTCTTCTTGTAGATGTAGATAGACTGTAAGATGATATGTCATCTATAATCTAGAAGATATATACTGACCGTGATATATACAGGTCTATTCTATATGGTCTACTGGAAAGCCTTCAGAGATTCGTCGTCCCACCTATATCTTGTTAGTTTTACCACATCACGAAAGTGCCACGGGTGAATAAAGTAGAACTTACGTCAGGTACTTGCCACTCAGCGAGTTTGGCGCATCGATCACCAACTTAGCCATGACATTACCAGGTTGCTCGGGCTTGAGAAGGTTTCCAGCCTGGTGGACCGAAGTAAAGACAGAATGGAATTGGCGGTCCATAGTAGTAGCAAGATCTTCACGAATCTGTCTCTGGATCTCGGTATCAACCAAACCCGGGTCAATGGACACGGATGTCACATCGGGCTCTTCTTCGCCAAGGCTCAAAGCCAGGTGGTTCATGGCTGCCTTGGTCGCGCCATACAGACCCCATCCCTTGAATCCCGAGACGGATGCGCCAGAAGACGTGAAGACGATTCTACCCTTGGTTTCGCGAAGGGCAGGGAGTCCAGCTTTGATCTGTTCCAATGCGTCAGTAGCCAATACCTACAGCCCACTCCTCTATCAAGAAAGCCCGTGGGAGTAACTTACGAAAGCCACCAAGCTAATGAAATTGACATCAAATCCATGCTGCCATTGTTTCGGATCCGCCTCCGCGACGTTGGCAACCTGGCCCAGCATGCCGTGGTTGAGAACCAAGCCATCGAGACGACCGAAGGCCTTCAAAGCCAGGTCAACGGCCTTCTGGCCGAGCGAGAAGTTCGCAAGATCGCCGGTCAAGACCTCAACTTGAGTGGGGTACTGGTCTTTCAGCTTCTGAAGGGGCACCGCGCTACGGGCCATCACTACTACATTGTGGCATTGAGGCGCCGAGAGGAGGAACTTGGCCGTTGCAAGACCGATACCTATACCATGGGTAGGTTATTTAGCGTCGGAGGTCGCATATTTAGATGCCGACATGAGCAATATATTGTGTTGGTTTCGTACCTCTCGAGGCACCGGTGACGATGAAGGTTTTGGCAGCCATATTTTTCTTAGATAGAAGGTGACCTAGGAAAATTATAAGGAACGCGAGGGAGGAAACGGAAATGGATGAAATGTATTCAGCAGGGGAAAATATCACCCGATGATCTGCCGAGTCAAAATCAACTGAGTCAGAAATTAGTGCATTCCATCATGCAACGGAATATTACCGATAAGCGATAAGTGCCGCTTGTGCGGCACTGACAATGCAGGGTCCGAATATCCGAAAAGCTGCTTTAGCGTAGAGCATTTAAACATCCTATGAATATGATCCTCCTGAAAATGAAATCAGGCACATACGACCATAGGGTGTGGAAAACAGGGCTTCCCGTCCGCTCAGCCGTACTTAAGCCACACGCCGGGAGGTTAGTAGTTGGGTGGGTGACCACCAGCGAATCCCTTCTGTTGTATGTTTTTGTTTCAGACGCCATTGCAATTTGTATTGTAGGTAATCGAAACAATGATTATCAAACAAGAAGTAGGTCTATTGTGAGTTGGTTGCTATTACCTAAAATGCAACCAATCCCTATTATCGTGCTTAACCTCGTGATATGGAATGGCTCATCGCACGCCATAGCTTGGCTTCCGTCTAACTGTCTAATATCTCCGCCCACTTATAATAGGTTCCCTAATCAATTTTGACCATGTACCATAGTACACCTACACAAGGACAGACCTTATTCCTCGTGCAACTTATCCAGTGGAGGGATGGTTGGTTCCATGGAACGACAGCTGACAGCCGACAACCAACGCGACTTCGGGCATGGAACAACACCATTTTGGGACTTCGTCACATGCCGATACGTCATGCATTAACCAACAGATGATGGGAATTATAGCTAGAACATTAGGGACTTACATCTCGCCCGAGGGCCTCGTACTTGCACCATATGCTTCTATGGCAGCTTACAACCCCTGCTTTGAATGGACCACAAAGGTGACAAAGAAGTGCATGATCGGGTATGAATGAAGCTTCTATCTATTGGTATGAATAACATATGCTCATGGTTCTGCAAAGCCGCTTTCCGAGCGCGACAAGCGTATCCTCACCACCTACGGAAGGTTGCCTTGTGGAGGCAGTCTTGGCCAGCAGGCAAAGGTATATTTCCAACATATTACATTTTAATCACAGCTGAAAAAAATCAGAAACGGACTTACTTCGATTCTGGGGACTATGCCCTCTCCGCAGCTCACCGAGTGACCGACAACGGCGATATCCAAACCGGCACGGCTCACCCGGTCCGTGAGAGCATTTCGCACCCCTTCGCACCGGTACCAAGCACTGGCAATGCTTCTAAGGAGGCTAATAATGGTATTTGTGAGGACAAGAGTGCAATCACTCAAGTTCCAAGGAGTCCTCTTTCCAGGAACCCGAGCTTCAGTGATCAGGATCTATAGGCCCCGAGGGCAGAAAAGCCCGAATGTGTAGGATACCGCGTGATGGTTGTTGGAAACTACCCCATGATGAAGGACCGGGTTGATGAGCTTTATTGCATACTATATTGGGGAACACACTGGTTCCTCTTGACGCGTTTTGATATCTGGTCAATTTCTCCCCAGAATATTTGGTATGTTGCATTGATAGAGGTTGCCTTTGGTTGGTTTATATCCTTTTTCCAGATTGAACTGTCCTTAGATATGTACGTATCTCGAATTAATTCAGCGCATCGGTTATGTGTCATGCCATACACAGCTTCGATTACCGAGTCTCCTAGTAGGCTTGTCGGTTTCCTCCTCGAAGTCAAGAAAAGGTCAATCAGTGAGATTAGTACTACAGCTCACAAGCAACTCACTGCAAATATTTGGTCCTGCTTTCCAGTCCCCCACTCCCGGGTCCTGTCAATCTTAGGGATACCAGCAAAATCCCACCATCATCCAGGCACTCATCAAGGTCATGTCAGATATCACAATTTACTAACCCGACAGCACCACAGTCTCAGACTCCCTCAAGTTTCCGGTACGCCCGCTCCGGCACACGCAGTGACGCAGACACATACTGATCCAAAAAGGCGCGTAAACTGGAACGGTCCGATTCAGATACACAACTGCTCGATCGCTCTTGCTGACGATGTCTTGCACAACAATGCCAACACTGGCGTAGACCATCTTCAGTCGAGGACTTTAACGAAGGTGCACAAGCGGCAGCAATAAGGGCGATCTCTTCGATTCTGCTCCATAACGTTGGCGCCACTAGTGACCGGAGCTGCTCTCCTTCAAGCACAATGACTCGTACATAGTAGAGCTTTACGCTAGCGGCAGCCGTAGCACAGAGGATCAGAGACAAGAGGAACGCGATTATGAGCCTCTCTCGTAAAGGTCGATGTAGTCGCCAGATTATGGGTAATGGCATGATAACGAATATGACGTCGGTAAGGATGCCGATACCTGCCAGCCAGTGTGTTCCATTAGCTGTATGTCATGCTTTTTTGAAAATAATGGTATGTTAGATACTTACCAGTATACACAAAGCCATATATATGCAGCTGAGGCGGCGCCCAGCATCTAGCGTCGGGGACGACATCCCACATGGCACGTAAGGGTCTGCACTGGATAAAGAGACAGATGGTCGAAGCGAGCGCTGCTGCGAGTTGAATAGATACTGCACACCACAAAATAGCGTGCCATATATTAGCTCGGTGAAGAGATATAAGTATTATTGCTACTGAAACTCGTAGCAGTGCTCCTGCCCATATACCCGTCATTTCGTATGTGAAGACGAAGCGCAGGGCCTGGGCTCTGTTGCCTGGTGTAACAAATTTGTCGTGTCGACCAAGGCCATAGGAAGCTGCCGCAGCCATCATGGAGTATGCTACTATCTCCAAGGCCTGTTCAGATCGTCAGCACTGCTTTTCGGTGCATGAAATGAGGAAAGATACCACTGCTAGCGATATTATGAGATCCTCGGCTCGGATTTTATAAACTCGACGGAAGCGCGTGTAAATTCGAAGAACATACAAAGCGAGCGCTATAAGCAGTAGAACGCCGCAAATAACCAGCGCCCTTGGAGCGGTAGTTGTATTGGCATCATCTTGAGGAACTTCTTCATTCATCTGGGTTAGAGAAGGTTCGCTGCTGGCAAGGACTCCCTAGACTCCCACGCGGTTGCAAAACAGGCAGTACGCTCATGGCCTCAGAATGTGAATTATTTATGAATTTCTAACAGCATCACCCGGGGGACTTCGTGATATTCGTTCCATCATTTTCCCATCTTTACCGTGAAATTGTCTGTTTCGTTTTCCGCGGTTTAGATGGATCCCCGTTCGCGAGCCTAGTATCTGCAAGGGGTAGACAAAAATGGCTCTGGTAGCGAGGGGGGCACTTAGAACCATTAGGTCCATGTTGAAATAATTTCCGGCCCCCCTTCAAGGTTAAACTGGGCCATTACCCTACAGTCTACTGTTCATCTTTGTCTGGGTGGATTGTCAACGTCATTAACCTTAAGATACACTGTGACCAGTGGAAGCTACAGATGGAATCTCTCTGACTGGTAACATACGTAAGTGGAAGGTGTATATTGATTGTGATGCCCTACAAAATTTCGCGATGATGGGTTGAAGGTGTTCGGTGGAGGCATATATATTTTTCTCAACGGAAGATGACATAGCACGAATAACGTGTACTAGCAACCCTTCTGAAAGCGTTAAAATGCCAGTAATAATATAATAGAGAGAATCAGATCAAGTTCTGGCTGATAGGAAATAAAGAGATTTGGTACCCCGTGCATGAAGGGGTCTGTTATACTATGCTCACAAAGAACTCACGGTGAAGCTCACTATGCCGACCGGCCGCTATTTGAGAGCAGCTTCAATCTGGAATATAGAGCACTTATTAGCGTATTGTACTTCATCCAATCCTCGATGGTCTAACGGTCATGATTTCCGCTTGTCAATCCCTTCCGGGAACAAGCGCGGGAGACCTGGGTTCGACTCCCAGTCGGGGAGATTTCTTTTTTGTTTTTCATTCAATCGGCTACGCAAATATCATCAGCCCACATTATGAGGCTTCGACCAATTATTGCACCCCATTCCAGCTGCTGCCCAATTATTTCGGATTGATTGCTTCAACAATAACGTTTAGTACTAGTTCTGGAATGTCAATGTCTTCTATTATTTGAAAGGAATATGCAATGCTATCCCGTCCGGACAGTTGTCCTAATCAAAGTACATTTCATATCCATTCCATCCAGCAATAGCATAATACAATTCTCCCATGAATCTCATGGCCTTCCGGAATGCTTTATCATGGTATTGTGCTTGTCTCAATCAGAGCCGACAAGAGCCCTGCTTTCGGCCTGTGTCTATCAAAAAGGGTCCACACCGCGCTTTAGTATGTCTTCAAACACAAAGGCTTGCTGAATACCGGTTGTTTCGCCGATATAGTGCATGCGATCAATGATCCAATCTCGCTGATATTCCGAACTAGCCATCTGCCCGGCATATAGCAGAGGCCAAAATAGAAGGTAGATACCAGCGACAGCGGGGATACCATTGCTGTCTGTTTGTGTATCTGATAGACTGCCCGATATTACTGGCAGGTCACCACAGTATTGAGGCACGGAAGCACAGATGTCTGAAACGAGCTGTTGCATTATTATAACTGAGTGCTGATACTGGACAGAATCGAATAGAGAAGTGTCCAGGAAATTCTCCATTTGTTGCTTGATTTCTTGATGCAGAAGCAACCGACATGTACGGACGTTGTTCCACACACCTGCGACCCATGCATCAGAATACTTGTGAAATTGTGTTCCCATGACCTGTTTGGATGTTTTCGCCGAATTCACGACATGGAATTGCCAATCTTCGGGCATGTTATCCGTGAGCGAGCAGAGGCTGCGGTCTATATCTTTGGCATATGCAATCATTTTCTCCGGATCGTAGAGTGTACGGCACTTAATCTGTGCACGGAAATAGGACAGCGATATCATGATTTCAGACAATTTCCAGGCAGGATCATCAGTATCCATGTAAGCAGCAGTGTGGCGGTGAAGCTTTACCAATCCCATAGGTATTCGAAAAGAGCGCATCAAGCAGGTCACTGAAATACAAAGAAGGGTTTGTCGAAACATTTGAAGTCCGGGACGAGATTGCACAAGTCCCACCCCTCGAATGTCCAATATTGATGCTACACCCTTTAAGTGAGTCTCTCTTTGATAGGGGAAGTCTTTACTCTCACAAGTCAGAGCCTCAAAGGTGTTTAGGAATAAGATCGACATAATGGTAGCATTATTTGCTGCTTCATGGGGGGACGATAAGGCTGCATTGATATGTCGAAGCGCTGCGATGTAATACCGTCTAGCCTTCTTGAGAAGGACAAAATGCTGGAACTTGGTAGCATACGCTGCCAGTGCAACAGCACGTAGGCTCGTAACAACTCTTTCCTCGGTCATGACTTCGTTCTTGCTGGCAGATAAATACTCATAATGGCCCCGGATGAGACCAATGTTATGGAAGGTGTGAGCCGACATGAAGAAATCGATTGCACGAGATTCCGTGGATTGGACTATGCTCCCGCCAAGTATGTTCGCATTTGGTGGGTCGAGATTAACTGGCCGTTCAGGACTTTGTACCCTTGCCGTAATACATGATCCTGGTGACAAAATCTTTGCTTTGGGAACATTGTTTGTGTCTGGATTCTTTGGGTTGTGATGAAGAAACATCCGCTCTATAGTATCACCATACTGTGGACATTCCCAACCAGACTTTAGGCATTGGTTGCAATGCGGTCGGGCCCGGTCGCACTGTTAAGTTCACTTGATAAGCATTGATATAGAATATAAGAGGGTAAGATCGTAGAAAACCAAATATTAGAGCGAGTCTAAAGAGCAGTACCTTGATTTTTCTCCTCCTACAGACCTGGCAGCCTTTTGACAATCTCCCGTGGCGGACCATTCTGATAGAATCGGCTGGTCCGATACCGGCCGTGGGTCAAGTAAGATCGCTGTCGTTCAAGCAGCGGTACTACTAGGTAAGGCTACATCAAATAAGAATTGCTGCATAAAGGTGAACATTTTACGATGTAGACGAATAAATAATAACTCATGCTTAAAGCATTACTGAGAAGAAAGACGAGGAAGAACAACAGGAAAACCGACAGAGACTCGATAAGCAACAATCCGCCATCACATGTTCTGTCAGCGCTAAGCCCTTTTGGAAGGTATTGCGAAGTGGCCAATCACAGTGCAGCGAGTGATATAACCCTCTCTGAGTCTTCTGTCTCGGACGAGGGATGCTGGTCTTTTCCATAGAAAATTTATCATCAATTAGAAATTCAGAATAATTTAGCTAATCTGTAAGGGACAAGGTGCTAAATATAAATATGTGCTCCTGTCCTGAGTACAGCAACAGTCTCCAGACACTCAAAATTCATCATCTCATTGGCACTTCATCGAGTACAATTACTGCTGATTGTCAGTACCCCCAAATTCACACCCTTTTTACTTCTCTTCTGCCATTTCACATTACAGGGCCTCTGCTTCTCAATATGTCCGAAGACAAGAAGCTCCTCGTCGTGTTCGGTGCTACGGGCATTCAGGGTGGCTCGGTTGCTCGAGCAATCCTGGCCGATCCTATGGCGTCAAAGCAGTTCAACATCCGGGCAATTACTAGAGACCCTTCCAAACAGGCTGCCAAAACCCTAGCCCAGCAGGGTGCGGAGTTAATGAAGGTAGGTCACACTCAACCATCCGACTGGACTTGCGGTGCAAGGTCATTGATACAGACGACAATAGGCCGACCTTGAAGACAAAGGCTCTCTTCGTTTAGCTCTCAAAGATGCTTATGCTGTTTTTGCAGTTACCAACTTCTGGGAGACTTTTGATGCTACCGCCGAGACCAGACAAGGCATGAACGTGGCTGATATTGCTAAGGTAGGACATACTAGTACATCTGTGGGGATATGCTAACACCAACAGGAACTGGATGTCAAGCATCTTATCTGGAGCAGCTTACCTGGCATCTCACGGAGTACGTCACTTTTTTCTCTTCGCCCATTGTGTCGTTTTCTTATTGTTAAGATGTGTAGCTAATGAAGGATAGTCACTAATGATAAACTCACTGGCGTGGTGCATTTCGACAGCAAAGCTCGTGTTGATGACTATATCCGCCAGCTCTCGATCCCTCACACCATTGTCACCCTTGCCATATATGCTACCTTTTTCTTCGAGATACTGACACCCCTTCCGACAACACCTCCCGCATATGTGCTAGCGTTCCCCGAACCAACAAGCGCCCAGACCAAAGTGCCTATTATTGACCCTACTGCTGACCTGGGTAAGTTTGTCAAGGGTATTCTTCTGAACCCTGGTAAGACGCTCGGTCAGAGCTTCAATGTGGCAGGAAGAGCATATACTTTCGAAGAAATCCTCGGGGTCGCAAAGGGCATGGGTGTAGATATAAGCTTCCAACCGGTTGATAAGGAGACCTTCAAGGCCGGAATGGCTTCCAAGGGATTTCCCGACGTTGTTTGTGTTGGTGTATCTCAGGCCGCTCAGTATATCCAGGAGTATGGATACTTCGGCGGGGCCGGATTCGAGGAAAGCCACAAGGCAAGTTGATAATGAGTTTTGCTTATGCTTGCGTGTACTTAAGAACAATACTAACTGCCGTTGCACATTGTAATAGGTTTTGTTGGAACCCTTGACTACACTGGAAGAGACCCTGAAGAACAGCGCGGTTTTGTCGCAGCTGAAGAATCAAAAATGATTAGTCGTTAAACAAGGAACTCATGTTTTCTTGGGGAATAGTAGCTATTGACTTCTGTTTCTGGATTGAAGTCCGATTATTTGGGCATCTCCGCCACAGTTTGGTAACAGCACATTGAGTTCTTTGAGTAGCTATATCGATTATTGCAAACATTAAATAATGATTACGGATCTGCAAAATATTATCCAATCCATATTCCGCAGCCAGGATATAGTTCATAGTTCCGGAGTATCAGGAAAAATTGGCATACTAGACCCAGTTAGTCAAGGTTACCAGGCAGTAGCTTTTCAATTACCAAGAAACTTACATCTCAGGATAACGATCTCCCACAAAGTTGGCCTTCTGCACCAAATCTTTAATCTCAGCAACCTCTTCGTCACTCAATTTCACATCCACCGCGGCAGCATTCTCCTCCAGGTACTTAATGCTGCGAGTACCTGGAATGGGAATGACATCCGGACCTTGAGCAAGCAGCCACGCCAGGGCAACTTGCGACGGCGTAGACCCATGCGTCTCTCCAATCTCCTTGAACCTCTCCACTATCGCCAAAATTCTGTCCATCCCTTCAGAATACCTCGGGATCATGCATCGAAAGTCCTGCTCTCCCAGGTCACTCCTCGACTTGAACTGACCCGTCAATAAGCCCCGACCCATGGGACTATACGCAACCACAGCAATGCCCAGCTCACGACACGTGCGAAGCACGTCAGACTGGGGAGACTCGATGTCCAAGCAGAACGGACTGTACTCAATTTGCAGCGCTGAGATGGGATGAACAGCATGCGCACGGCGCAGAGTAGCAGCGGAGACTTCGGAAAGACCTAAATAGCGAATTTTCCCTTCTCTGTACCCAACATCTCATGTAAGCAACCTATCATAGCACACCTAATGTTATAGCTCACCTCTTCAACTGAACCATAGCCTCCACGGTCTTCTCAATAGGAGTCACCCCGTCCACTCGATGACAATAATACAAGTCAATCGTCTCAACATCCAATTTCTCCAGGCTTCTCTCACAGGCCATTCGGATATACTCCGGGTCAGATCGAATACTTTGCTTCATGCTGGCATCATAGCTAAGACCAAACTTCGTTGCTAGAAAGATGTCTTCGCGCTTGCCAGATCGCTTGAACCATTCCCCGATGATGGCTTCGCTGTCAAAGTAGATGTCAGCCGTGTCCCAGAATCGCTGTCCAATGGAGTGAGCGTGGTCTAGGAAGGCGAGTTTCTCTTCCCGGGTGTTTTGTTGGCCGTATGCACCGGCGATGCTCATTGTACCGAGACCAATAGCATTGACCAGGGGGCCGTTGTGCCCTAGGCTGCGGAGGGTGGACATTGTTGGGTTGGTTGATTTGTGTAGTAGACTTAATAGTGGTAAAGTTGGATTTAAGCAATTGTAATGATGGATGAACTCTATTGAATGGGATGAAAAGAAGGTGAGACGAGAGGACTGTAGAGCAGATATTTATAAGCTGTTCGAAGAGGATGTAGGAGTTCATCAGCTACTGGAATTGTTGGTTTTCTTCATGCATCAGGATTTCTGAGGCATACCATCAAGGACAGAGGGGGCTACGATTGGCCAGCCAATCACGGGCGTGGAAATGCGAACTGACCAATAGGAATCACCGAAAAACGAAGATGGCCCATTCGGCATCATGTTGAATTACTATTTATCTATGATGGAAGTTTGGAGGCACAGTACTACGAGCAGACAAATCAAATTACAAGAATTGACACCTAGGTGCTCAAAAATTTACACAAGTCAATATGCACACCAAAGTCTCAAGTGGATAACGTGTACAGTAGCCACATCTATTCTCAAAAGAGCCTCGGAGTTCGAAGGCCATAACACCGACTCTATCCGCCGACTGATAAGTGATAAGACATATTATCTCTATTTACGACAGATAATCTGCGCACTGGGAATGGAGATCCAAGCATCCTCATCCTCCCCCCACTGACGCCAAACAGTAGATATACTCTCGAGCTCCTCCAACGTCGCGAATCCATTATCTAGAGCTCCCTTAGCAAAGGCTGACTTCAACGCACGTTCTTGCCATGTTCCACTCCACCACTGAACCTCTTCTGGCTTCGTGAAGCACCACGCGCTCACAGTACAATCAACATTCGGCTTCTCAAATCCAGCCTGGCGTGCCCAGACATGCAAGTACCGACCTGCATTGGGCTCGCCTCCATTCTTTCGAGCCACCCGATCATATAGCTCCAGCCAGCGTCGCAGTCCAGGGAGTTCTGGGTACCACCCGAAGACCGAGTAATCTGACTCGCGCGCTGCGACAATGCCACCAGTTTTGCAGACACGGCGCATCTCCTTCAAAACATTCACGGGATCTCCCACGTGCTGTAGAACTTGATGGCAGACGACCACATCGAATGATTCATCGGCGTAGGCCAGGTTGTTGGCGTCACCCGTGACGAACTCGATGTTGTTGATTCCTCGCGATTCGGCGAGCTGTCGGGCTCCTGGCAAGACATCGTCGACCATTTCGAGGCCCGTAACGTAGCCGTTGGGGACGTATGTAGCCAAGTCCACAGTGATGGTGCCTGGACCACAGCCGATGTCTAGGATCTTCATGTGGGGTTTTAGGTGTGGCAGGAGGTATTGAGCGGAGTTGAGGGCGGTCCGTTGTCCGTGGGACCGGAGCACGGAGGCATGATGGCCGTGGGTGTATGTTGCTGTCTCGGGCATTTTGCTCTTTATTGTGAAGTATGAATGAAGATTTGTTGATGAGAAATAGAATAGCATGTATTTGTTGCTTCCTTTATAGCTGCTGTGGATGGCTAGCGACGGGCCGATATCGGCGGAGCTGTCGCTCGCTGACTTGGGGTCAACGCGATCGGCATGGTTGAATTTCGGAAAAGGATTCTCCAGCCAATATGAGGATGAAAGAAGATGCAGGGAATGGCAAAGCCTAGGCGGACAATCACTAATGTTGCATCATCGCGGTATCCTTTTATTCATCGCTGCGGGCGGACATCGCAGCTCCCGCACAACCATCTCAGGTCATTGGTGACCGACCCACTTGGCACATTTTTTATGCTTGAGCTTGAATATGCTTCTAGTTCTGAGCCACTTATGCTTGCTGCTTACTTGAAGCCCTGATCGGCTCACTGTGAGACTAGGCTTATCACAACACTGTCATTATAGTCGCAGTCTGTGCTAGACTGTAGCCCGCAGCGATACCGGAGATGCTATGGAAATTGAACCCTATATGTTGATTATCTGGCGACAGTGCCACCTATTGGGACCCATATCTTTCTCAAATGATGTTTCTGAGACCTTTGGCTTTTGTCTTTCCAGTGAGTGCTTGGATTTATTTACCAACTTGAGGCTGACACGCTAGCTTTTGCCACTTCTTGACGCTAAAAGCTTTCGTCGGCTATTGTATCCAAACCTGCTTCTACAGTTCCACTTAGAATATTAGCAACTGGATTGCTTCCGCTAGCCCAGTCCAAGGCCAGGTACCCGCCAATAGTACCTCGTATATCTCTCTCATGATTCTGGCTATAAAAGAACAGGTGCCCACAAAGGAAGATGACACTCGGGGCTGTTGTCGTTCGTTCCTTTCAGTCATTCTTTCACACCGCAACACGGTCTATTCTCTCCCAAAACACATCATAACTTTCTTTTGATCAGTCCAGCCATTGGCATCATGAGGAGGATAATAGCAAGATTTTTGACTGTTCTGCTACCCCTGACTCAGTTGACTGCGGCTCTGACCATCCAGCCAGAAGCAGCAGCCAGGGTCTCAGTTGAGACTTTGACATCTACCTATACCGACACAGTGACCAGCACAATTACCAGTCTTTCAGCTCTAACAACCACCACTACCACCTGTGCTACACAGTCATATGCGGACCCATTTTATACCTTGAACGGTGCTTGGTCTCTCGCCGGCAACTGGTTCCAACAATGGTGTTCGGGCGTATCTCTAGAGGGAGGGACGACTGTCACCTCAGCATATTACGCATCGTTATTTGATTGCGAGGTGATATGCTATCAATTAAGTACTGAGTGTAACGGCGTCAATTACAATACGGCCAGTCGTGTTTGCTACCTCCTAACTGGCTCGCTCACTGCTACTTCTGCTGCCTCTTACAGGGCGGCGATGCGCTTGACCACCAACCCTTGCACGGTTACCGAGACTTTTATCTCGACGGGCCTTTCGACGCAAACATCCACCATCGTGTCTGTTGTGACATACACGTCAACAATCACTATACCGGATACATCATCCACTCAGACTGGCTCTGTGTTAGTTGTGCAAACTTCAACATCTCCAGTCGCAGTATCAAGTTCTATCCCCGCAATTTCCAGCACTCGGGTCACCTCCTTGGGTACCACTACTCCCTCGTCGATCTCCACCTCAACACCCGTGATACGATTGTCGTCGGCTTCTGTACCTGCATCTACAGATGACACTTCATCATTCAAGACCTCGGAAAAGTCATCAATGCCAAACCATCCATCCGCTGCCGCAAGTTCCTCCATCGCTATACAGCTTAGCAACTCACATTCGCCTTCATACAGCGATGCTCTTACATTTACTCCGAGTTCAAGATTTGCAATGTCTACTGCCTCGCGTCCTGCAATCACATCAAGTTCGGCTTTATCTCTATATCCAAGCTCTTCGGTACCGATGCAATCATCAAGCCAATACATAGCATCCTCCCCATCTATTCACGCATCGTCGAGCCCGGAGTCAACCAAAATTCCTCAACCATCTACATCGGTACCATATATGCCTACGTTTGCGAACGAAAGCCCCATTCTACCGAGCCATCCAACCTCTCCGCAGCTCGCCATCGATACCAACGACAGCAGCCCTTCCGAGTCTGCTTCCTCACCTGGAGGACTCTCTACCAATTCCACAATCTTTACCACCCAAGTCCGCACTGTGACTTCCTGTCCAGCTTCAGTGACCGAATGTCCTACTACAGATAAAACTACATTCCTTACTACCGAGACCATCACCGTGGGCACAACAATATGTCCTGTGACTGCTGCGTTGGCCTCTCCGACGAGCTTGCAGTCTGCAGATGATGTGTATACTGAGGTTTCGACAGTGTATGTTACGAACATCGTGACAATCAGTGCTTGTGCAGGTGATGGATATTGATTGTTTACTTGGCCTCGATGTAAAATCTTACCCAAATCTCGGGGTGTTGTTGATATTTACGTTATATTGTCTTCAGACTAGCTCATGGCAACCCTATTTGTAGGTTAATAATGTGATTACAGCAATAATATCGTCTCATTTTTATCTATCCTAATTGACAACCTGTCTTTCATGATGGATACTTCATTGACTTTGTCCTTGCCCTCCTCACAATTTCCTACTTCAACCCAGCAGCCCCGACATCACCGGTGCTGCTTCTGCTCCTCCTTCTGCCAAACCTCAAAGTACGTACTCAGCAGCTCCGGCATAGAAGGCAACTCCGGCATATCCGAAGACGCAAGCAAAACACGCCGACCATTCGCATTCTCATACACAGTCTTCGTCATCGTCTCCGCCTCCCAGTACACCAACAATTCCCGAACTTTATCCTGCAAGAACGCCGACGCGACTTTGAAATGATGTTCTCCATGCGTTGCCACAATATCAGCCCACTCCAAAGCCGATACCCGTTTCAACGGGGGGGACGTATAATGTGCCACCAGGTCTAGAACCTCATCCCACGTCAAGGTATGAGTTTGATCAGGTAGGACAAGGTTATAGGCATGGCTGTGGTGACTGCTAAGCGCAATTTCCAGGATCGCTGAGCTTGCGTAGTCGACTGGGATCATCTGGCAGCGGGCCGCTGGGGGGGACGGGTAGCATCCAACGCGGATGGAGCTGACCATCAGATGTTGGAAACCGTCCCCGGGGTTGGCAACTCCCGTTTTGCTGTGGCCGGAAATGACGGGTAGGCGATGGATGGTTACTGGCATGCCGTTTGCGATGGCATCCCAGGCGATGCTTTCGGCCACGATCTTGGTCTCACTGTAACCGACGAGCTTTCTTTCGGAGTCCGTAGTGTTGAGGGCTGGTCTTTCATTCTCGCCGATAAGCTCTCTACCCTCGAGATATGCAGATGTTCCGCAGGCTGAAATGCTGGAGGTATAATGCACGGGCTTGAGGCGCTTCGTATTGGCGAACCGAAGAATATTCGAAAACCCATGGATATTGGCGCCGCGGAGCTCCGAGTATGAAGGCATGTAGTTGCATTGGGCGGCAAGGTGGAAAATAACACTGGTCCATTGAGCGAAATGTTCGTACTTCTCCTGTCCGAGTCCCAGTGTCGAGTCGGTGAGATCGCCAGGTACGACGATGACTTTAGATTCAAAGTCCAATGACAGTCCGTAGTGCTCCAGGTTCTCCTTGATACGTGCCAAGCCTGCTGCGGCATCTGGCGCTCGCACCAAGCACGCGATCTCCTTCACCCGTGGGTGACTAGTTAGAGTAGAGAGAAAGAAGGCACCCAGGAACCCGGTGCATCCAGTCACAAACACCCGTCCTTCAGATTGGGAATGCCAGCACGGGACGTGCTCTGATATTGGCTCTAGAGACTTAGCCAACTCCAAGTCCGCCCGATAGAGCACGCTCTCATCAACATCGTCTTTGCCGTTACCGACAAGAGACCCCTTCGCGTTCTCAAGCTCCCCGGACTTGTGCTTCTCACGGAGGACCTGCATGGTAATCGCGCCGAGTCCTTTGACGTTTTGTGCCTTTGAAATCTGAGCGAGTGATACCTCAACGCCGACATTTCGCCGGAACCAGCTGCGTATCTCAATGGTCATCAATGAGTCAATTGCAATCTCACAGAGCTCCTCATACGGCATATCATCGGGATAGGACATGTTCGAGGCAACCATTCGACCGATCTCGAGCGTAATCTTGGTCTCTGTAGCTGGATCATAGAGAAGAGAGGGATTGCGCTTGATCGTGTTTACGAACGTTTTGAGCTCGTTATCTTGGCTTGCGCTCCCGCCGTCCGAAGCAGTCAGCATGTTATGCCACGCCAGGAAACGAGCATCCTGCCCTACTGTAACACCATTCTCCATCTCAGACACCGGCTTTGTTGTTCCCATCCCTAAGGCCAGTTGGGGTGCACTCCCCATGATCTGTATTTCCAGGGCCTTGAGTAGATCGTGCTCTTCCAGGATTTCCCATGAGCTCATTTCAACCATTTCCCTAGCTCTATGAGACGTTTCAGCGATAACACCGATATCTCCCATGAAACCAATGTCGAGTACGCTAGCTGGTAGCCCCTTTGACTGACGGTAAGTGACAAAAGCGTCCAAGAAGGTATTAGCAGCCGCGTAGTTTGCTTGGCCGATATGCCCGGCAGTACCAGAGACAGAGCTGAGCAGGACGAAGAAATCCAGAGAGCAACTCTGCGTCGCCTGATGAACATTCCACGTGCCTTGGACCTTAGGAGCAAGTGCCTCGGTCCACTCCTTGTATTCCATGTCATCCAATGTTTGATCCTGTTTGACAGAGAAATCAATAAGTATTCTTCGACAACAAGAGCATGCTGAATGCCATATGAGAGTGTATACAAGGGTAACGGGAAACTCACTCGTAGCACCATGGACAACTGCATAATTCCTGCTATAGGTCGTACCGCGGCAGACACGGCTCGTTCAACATCGTTGATATTGGTGACATCACCTGTCACTACCTGAACGTGACAGTTTTCCTGAGACTCCATATCCTGGACGAATTCCCGAGCCTTGGTTGCCTCCAAGCCGGACCGGGACATGAATAGCAAATGCTGGGCACCTTTTTCCACCATCCATCTTGCCACTGCACGCCCGAGACCCCCAAGCCCACCAACCAACAAGTAAGAAGCATTACCGCGGAACAGGGCTCCTTTAGCCTGCAATTTAGACACTGGTAATTCGGATGGATTCTCAGGCATTTCCACCAGAATCTTGCCCATGTGTTTGCCAGTCTGCATGTGCCTAAACGCTTTAGCAATATCGGACGCTTTGAAAACAGTAACTGGACGGATAGGACGGAGCTTCCTTTGCTCTAAAGAGTGAGCGAATTGCTGTATTAAGCTCCGAATAATATCAGGGTCCTGCTCGCCAATTTGAAGAAGATCCACACCAATGAAGGTTCGGTTTCCCATGAAAAGGTCCATATCCAGCTTACCATGACCGAGGAAGTCACGCTTACCCAACTCAATCATCTTTCCCATGGGGGCAACGCACTTCCAAGAGGCATGCAATAGTTCGCCGGAAAGGGAGTTCAGAACGAGGTCTACACCTCTATTACCGGTCGCCTTCATTATATCCTTGTGGAAGCTAACGCTTCTGGAATCAAATATACGATCCTCAGTAAGCTTGAACTCCTCCATGAGATGTTCTCTCTTTTCCTTGCTTCCGACCGTGGCGAATATCTCGGCTCCGATTGCCTGACATATCTGAATTGCGGCCAAACCGACACCACCGCACGCGCTGTGGATGAGAACTGTCTGCCCCTTCTGTAGATTTCCGCACTTCACCAATGAGTAGAGAGCAGTGGAGAATACGCAGGGACCTGCTGCTGCATCTTCGAGAGACGATCCTTCAGGGAGCACATGACAAGTCTCCGCAGGCACTATTTTTCTTGTGCCCATTAAGCCCTTTCCGAAAACTGACACCTTATCTCCTACTTGAATGTTCTGTACCCCTGATCCCACATTGCAGACAATACCGGCCGCTTCAAGTCCGATCTCGGAAGTTTCTCCCATCAGTCCCATCGATATCATGATGTCCTAAACAAGCAATTTTAGCATTCAGATACTGAAAGGTATTGACAGTGGCTTACTCTGAAATTGAGCCCCACAAATCGGATATCCACTTCGATATCATGCTCCCCAAGGTGTCCCACACGCCCATCTAGGGCCCAAGTCAAAGAATCAAAGATACCAAAGCACCCAATATCTAAAGACCTCTGCTCGAAGCTATCATTGGCAGCCATCATTTGGTGGAGGAATTGGAAGTGAAATCGACCGACATGAACTGCTCCATCTTTAAGGGCAAACTCGTAGTCCTGGTAAATCGGGTTCTTGCCTGATTGTCGACAGATTCTTTCGAATACAAGCGCAATCTTCTCTGCTGCACCAGGTTCACTCTGCTCAAATTCAAGGGTTGCAAAATTTGTAGAGATCTCTTTCCTTACCGTTCGCATCAATCCCAGCGTTAGGCCAAATCGAGGGTCTGAATCTTCACCGCCAAATTGAACCGGCGGCATCAGCCAGAGGCAGTGGCCTTTGACGCCAGAAAGAAAGCGTTGAAAAGCACGGAATTCATCCTCCGAAAGACTGTCCAAAAAAGGGTTATCGAGGTCAAGGAAGGATATAATGTCCGTCATTAAACAAGACAGGTCGTTCAGAGTCAACCAAGTGACCTTGACGCCTTGGTGGGTGAAAGCCTGTGCAAGTGTATATGCCAGATTAGGGACCTTGCCCCTATAAAGGAAACCAATCTCTTTACAGAGAGGTGCCCTCGCTTCCGGTCGCCGTGATAGAATGTAAGCGTTAGTCTCGTATGGCGGTTCGTTGTCGTATCGAACTATGTCCGCACCAGTAAATCCCGCATCCAGGAGCTCTTGATGCCATCGTGAGACGGTAACCATTGGTGTTTCTCTTGAATCTTCTGCATTCCACCAGCCTGGGAGAGTACCCATTATGAAATTGACTATTGGAAGTCCGGGACAGAGCTCTGTAAGGAAAAGCCACCCTCCTGGAGCCAGTAGTTTATTCAGGTTGCGAAGCGAGGTTGATATTTTGGGGGTAGCATGGACGACATTTGAAGCGATGATCAAGTCATAGCTGTTTACGGCAAAGCCTTGGTCCTCAGGGTCCCTGGATATATCGAATGTCTCGTATATCATCCCAGGGAAGTTCCTAAAGTGCTCTTTTGCTTTTGCGAAAAATGCCGCTGAAATATCAGTGAATGTATAGCTGGAATACAAAGGACCTTGGTGCTTTGTTGAATCATAAAGGGCATCGAGAACTGCCGAGGTGGCGCCGCCTGTTCCTGCTCCAACCTCCAGGACTCTGAGTGTTGGACGGGAATGGCTGAGCAGTGACAGGAAATTCTCGGTCGGACATAGACGAGAGGACTCCTCATACATACTACTGACTGCATCACTTCCGCTAATGACCTCTAGGGCGTCGACGCTGTCATCTAAGATGCCTTCAATATGTGACAGCATCTCATAACCGGCAGTATATACACTGCGTGCCAAAGCATGCTCGATGTTTTTGCCAGACTCCTCGATCTGCGACATACACCCTTCTGGGTTGGAGCCAGACTTGTCCATTTCGAGGATAAGACTGGGGTGTTCGCGTCTTGTTCTTTCGTATTGCGAAAGCAACCACTTGTGGTACTTTTTCAAGTGCTCCTTTGTTGGCCTGGCTGATCTCGTCCGCCGGTATGCCTCCAGTATGAATAGGTTCGTAAATTCCATAGCGATTCTCCCGCGATCTATGTCCGCTGCAATTTTTGGGATTAGGCCGTCAAGTGGAAGAAAATCTATATGTGGTTTCCAATGCAGCGTTGCGGCGGACGCGCCATTTGCATCGTTGATCGCGGACTCACTGATTCCGAAAAAGAAGCAGCGCCTCAGAGAAAGCACAGGCTTTCCATCCGCAACTAATAAAGCATCTCCAGTGAACATATTCCCAGCTGTATCGCATGTCGATTTCAAAGACATCACCTCTTGTCCAGGGGCAACGTATAGACTCTCAATAGCGGTGGGGATGCACAATTGAGTCATGGAACGCTGAATTCCTCTGGCTCCTGCTACACTCAACAGCTGGAGACATTGGTCTATCACGACAGGATGGAGAGAATAGCGACTACCGGTCAGCGCAGTAGGCTCACATAACGTTGCTGCTGCCTCGGCTGTGGTAGGGCTTGCGGTGATATCTCGAAGCCCGCGGAAATTGGAGCCGTACTCCAGTCCTCGTTTCTCCAAAGCGTCGTACCATTCCTTGGCCAGCACCTTACGTGAGTATGGAGATACTATACCATATTCATCACTGAAGCCATCTGGCTCTGCCCGCACCTGCCCGACACAATGTTTCTTCCACTCGCCTTCGTTATATGCAGTGATTGTAAAGTCGTACCAACCAGAGTCCAGACTGTCGGTCAGTTTCACCGGTCGGAGGCTAGTAATAATCTCAACGTGCTGCAGCTTCGCCTCTTTCAGCACCAATGCAGCTCGCATAAACACGTTTTTCACCGAATATTCGGGGACCTGGGAAATCTGACGCATAGCCTCCCCGACCATTGCCACGTATCCGGCACCTGGAAAGACGACCTCTCCCCCTATCTTATGTTCCAATAGCCACGGTACATTCTCAGCTTGTAGCATGTTCCGCCATACAGGTTCCAAGTCGCTCGATTCCAGAGCTCGACTTCCTAACAGCTCGTGGTGGGGAGCTGACCGAAGCCTCCAGTCCCTCGTTAGACGGGTCTCACTCCAGAAGGATTCATTATGATCCCACGAGTAAGGAGCAAGGTCTGTCACTGTTGCTGCAGGACAGACAAACGACGATAGGTTCAGAGAGATTCCCTGGGTATATAACTGGCCAGCCGTGTTCATCAAGCATCTCCATTGGTCTTCATTTCGAATAAGGGTTGATGTGTATGAGCAGCTTCGCTTGGAATCTGTACCGGCGATGATTTGCCGCAAGGGGCCAGAGAGCACCGAGTGTGGTCCAATTTCAACAAATGCCAGAGCCTTTTCATCATCACTCAATATCTTGCTCAGTGCCGTGTTAAACATGACTGGATTTTCCACATTTCTTCTCCAGTATGAGGGACTCAGAGCGCAAGGGTCAGAGATAGTTTCGTTTGTAACCGTGGATACTAGTGGAATCATAGATTCATTGAAACAAATTTCCGAAAGTAGTGACTCGAATAGTTCTCCCACCTCATTCATGTGGTGTGAGTGGTAAGCCACATTGACTGCAAGACGCCGGCAGAACACCTCGCCTTGTGCTTGTATGTCTTTCAACATTTCATCGACCGCTTGTTCGTCTCCGGAGATGGTCACACTTTCAGGGCTGTTCTCGCACGCCACAACCACGCCATTCTTGAGATATTTCTCTGCTTCAGCACGTCCCAAACCGACTGCCGCCATAGCACCATTTCCTTTGGCTGACTCCATAGCCAGGCCACGGAAATACGCGATCTTGATGGCAGAGGAGGCGGTAATTGCTCCTGAAGCATAGGCCGCGGCAATTTCGCCACTCGAATGTCCTACCACAATGGACGGCACGACCCCCAGCTCCCGGAGGAAGCTCACCAGGGCCACCTGAATGGCGGTACAAAGGGGCTGTGCGAACTTGGCCTCTTGGAACCGGCCTTTATCGTCGGTATGCATTAGTTCATCTAGATGTTGTTAGATACAAGCTTATGTTAAGAAAAGGACCAAGACATGCCTTCGATACTCCAATCTGGTGGAGTCTCCAGTCGCTGTAATTGTTGATCTAGTTCCTGTATAACTAACCGGAACTTCTCTGAGTTCTGGATCATCTCTCGACCCATGCCTGGCCACTGTGCGCCTTGTCCGGTGAAGACGAAGCATATCTGCGGGTTGATTGCACGCGCTTTCTCAAATGTCGAAATTGTCCCATCTTTCTCCACGATGGCAAAGGCTCGGTGTTGCATGTGCTCTCGTTTGAACGCCAGTGTATATGCAATATCTGCAGCAGCAGATGGAATGTCATGTAGATAATCGCTGATTGTCTTGACGTTGCTATCCAGCGATGTGGCCGACTTGGCAGAGGCGAGCAAAAGGTGTGGTGGGCCTGGTCTTTCGTCGGATGTTACCCCAGACCGGGATCTTACACCTACAGAGAGGGCAGAATCCAAGACAACCTTAGGTAATTAGCAGATGTTTTTGTGATATGGTGGGGGATTATGATGGCTGAAAGCACTGATACATACATGCGCGTTGGTACCCCCTATACCGAATGAGTTGACGCTGATCCTCTCACATCTACCTGCCGGCCAAGGTGTTGGATCCACAGGAACTTGCAACTTCGCTTCTTTAAAAGGGACTTAAGATAAAAATATGAGTATTCTATCTTTGAAAGCACTAGGGAAGGGAATGCCTCACTGTTAGGATTTGGGGTATTGAAATGTATATTGGGAGGAAGGATTCTGTGCTCAAGCGCGAGTACACTCTTGATCACACTGGTAATACCAGAAGCGCCTTCTGAATGGCCCAAGTTTGGTTTTACCTAGTACTTATCAGATGTAGAATCACCAAGACTTTTGACATTCGACTCACCGCTCCAATATGTATGCCTTCGTGACCAAACACATTGGCAATTACAGTTGTTTCGGCCGTGTCGCCAACGATTGTGCCAGTTCCGTGACACTCGAAGAACGCTGTTTTACTGATGTCAGAAATACCTGCTTTCTGATAAGCTTTTCTGATGAGTGCTTCCTGTGCTTGCGACCCCGGAGTTGTTATGCTAGGTGTCTTGCCGTCGCAGTTGACAGCTGTAGATCGTATCACGGCGCGAATGGGATCACCATCCCTGAGGCATGCATGTAACGGCTTGATGTAGATTGCGTTTACTGCTTCTCCTCTTCCATAACCATCTGCAGAAGCATCGAAGGTTTTCGAAATTCCATCTGGGGAAAGTGCCATAGTCTCCGAGACGGCGTTAGTAGTGGTGGGTGTGATGATCAAGTTGGTCCCAGCCACCAACGCCGACGAACATTCGCCTGTGTATAATGCCTGACACGCATCGTGTAGACCGACAAGGGCCGCAGAGCAACCAGTGCGAAATGTGATACTGGGGCCCCGCAGATCATACTCGTAGGATATTCGGTTCGAAAGGGCGAAATCCGCCGCGCTGACGACCCTGAACCGATCGATGGCCTGGGTGTCCTTGCTCATCAAATCCAACCAGTCCTCGCCAAACACTCCAACGTAACATCCAATGTCCTTTCCACGGCATTCGGACGGGAGTTGGCCCCCATTTTCCAAACATTCCCATACAACTTCAAGCAGTATCCGTTGTTGCGGGTCGAGTTTCCCAGCTTCTAGCTTGCTCATACCGAAGAATCCAGCATCAACCTGCGATATATCTTGCTGAAGGAAGTAGCCATGCTGTGTCCGAATCGCACCAGGACGAGTCTCATCGTAGAATGCTTCTATGTTGTATCGGTCCTCGGGAACTATGCAACGACCGTCGCGTTTGTTGATCAATAAGTCCCAGAGATCCTTCTCACCATTGACACCGCCAGGAAGCCTCATTGACATGCCAACAATCGCGATCGGGAACGGGACGGGCTCGCAGTTGCTGTGCATCTCTCGTTGTACCGCGCCATGGTGGTCTTTACATTGTGAAAGAATGTGGCTCGGTGAACTTCTAACATCCAGTCCGTCCATGATTTGATAATTGTTTTCTCCGCTCGGCATTATTGGCGCTGCAACGTAGAGCAAGAACTTCCGATTTTCGAGTGAGAATTTGGTAATGGTACAAGAGATAGACTGACACTGGTAGAAGAAAAGGGATACATGTACCTATTCCTGAGTGTGGGTTGCACACCTCATATTAAGTGCGACCACTTACAATCCGTACTACTAAGCGACAAGAACAACATTAGAGATCATGTACGTATGCGGGATTGTCGAACCCAAGATCCTTCATCGCACTCAAGTAGCGGTCAGCAAATATCAGAAACCATCTTAACTGTAACAATACTACATCGTAGTTTGGTCTAGACCTTGATGCTTTTTTGCTTCTCTCGCCCTTTCATCTTCCCAATTACATGTCTCAGGTTCTTAATTCTCCCCCCTTCAATGGCCGCGTGCTACCCACGGCCTGCCTTCAATAATTTAGATACAGCGTATACTTGCATTGACTATCCATCAACCGATGACAAGACAACTTTCTGTTACTAAGTTCCGTGTCCCAGACTCAATGCCCCAAACATGCCTTATCCTGTGGGAATCATCACACGAGCAAAATCGGCGATAATGCAGTCAACGGCAGAGAGGACGCCTAGATGGGCGATCGCACATGCGTATTCGGAATCCCGGCAAACCCCAGCATGGCGTACTCGCTAATCTCGTCATTACTCCTCCTTAATAATTCTTGGGCAATTCATAGCTCCATATAGGACGGTCGGTATTATGTATTCAAACCTGAACTATGACAAGAAGTGCCAATATAGCACTTCAGCTCCTCATGATCCGCCACTGGCGCAGCTCTGTCTCGATAGGAGCTACGGAGTAATGCCGAGGATAAAAGCTGCCCCGTAAGCTTGTTGCTTTTGAGCAAGAGAACTTTAAGTTTCAGGAACAAATCAAAGGTCGGAAACAAAGACAATGTACATCATCATACCATCCCTTGCATTCCAACCCGTACTATGCGCGTAGACCTATGTGCCCCCTTGCATCCAAAGTTCTGCCTTCGTACTGTTTAACACCGGCGTTAGAAAACCATAAGTAGAAGAATTGTGTGACCTGTCGTTTCCTTGAGATGATCAAACATAAAGTCAATTTAAGAAGCTTGAAGCGGTGAAGACGAAGGGCTACGCAGCAGTCCAAAGATTATTGGATCGATGATTCCATGATATCAGATAAAAGATTATGCACCAAACGTAATACGGACAACAAAGAGTACCCCATTGCAAAACCAAGGTCAATGCAGTGAAGAAACAAGTGTACGTTCATGTGGGGCTATCATGGCAATGATCTACATTTCACGAGAAAAGAAGAAAGCACGAGCTTTCCCTGACGGGGCGGTAGAAAGACCGTGCCATACCGCAGGGGTGTACTCTGCTAGTGATTCGAGCAGGGCATCATAATTAGGCTTGGATCCTTTCCTTGACTAAGTTGTCTTTTAGGCTAATATAATAAACTTTGAGACATACACTGTCTGAGACTTGAATGCCCTCTACACTAAGCTGCTCGACACTAGACTCCACAACCACAATAATTGATTGATCTGCCATAAACATGTTGAGATACCGACAATCCAGACTTGGAATGTCCTCCTTCAAATGATTGGAAGGATCACCACTATAATCACCCTTTGTCCCTGTGCTACAGGGAATGATGGGAGGAATGCTACTCGTCCGAGTTGTCTTTTAAAGCAACTGGGATCCTCTCAGTGCCAGCGTGCAATACGTCTTCTAATCTCGAGAAAACTACATCAGCCTCAGAAGCCCAGCGATCATCCTGAATCAGAGGTCACCATGAAGTTCAACAACGCTGTGAATATCGCAACTGTTGCTTGCCTCAGTGCTTCTCCCACCCTCGCCCTCGTAACCTTGTGCTTTGATGCCCTCGACTCCATTAGCAAAATACCCGGCTACTTTATCCAAAACGTCCAACTGAACGCCTGTCCGGCCGGTTGCGCACCCAGAATCGACCAGTGGAACAGCGATGTGAAGGACGAGATTCTTAACGAACTGTTGGAAGATGGTATCCACTACACTGGCATCAATGATGAGCCGGCACAGAAGGCATTTGTCAAATCCATTGATGACCTATATAACGACGTCGTCTCCAAGTGCCAGAAAGAGTCCGATGGCCTGAACCTCTGTGACGATGAAGACAAGGTACAGCCATTCTTGGATTGTGTCAACAGCAACGCCAGAACCGCTGTGTTTAAAGGGGTGCCCCAATTGCTTCCCTACATTACAAATGACAGGTGCCAAAAAGTCGAGGAATACTTGAACAGCGATCAGCTGTGGAAGGATGACTTTCCTGAACACTTCAAGTCATATGTCGACCAGTGCCACGACATCTAAATGCCATCAACACCAGCACTATCCGGCATTTCTCTGGCCTTGAATGAAGCCCATGATGGAGCTCTATCATAATAAATGGGAGGAGTTGTTTGCAAAGGATCTTAGGGGATGCTGCGGGTCATTGTATTTGTACCTTTAATTTTCAGATTCTCTTCTATGTGGGCAGCATCTCTTATTAATGATAAGTCATTATTTTAATTCTCACAATATAACATGTTCTTCTATCAAGGGGGACTGCCCGCCTGCATGACGCACTGTAAGCGTGTCTGGCCCAGCAAGAGCTCAATTTAGTGAAATGCATCCATGACAATCAAGTAATGATTTATCCAGCTATATTGGAGGTCCCTCTTGCATATACCTCATAAAGTTTGAGACATCGAACCATCATGTCGCACACAATTAGATTAGTTCGAATCTAGATGAACCCTTTCTACTAGACCTAAGAGTAGACAGGCTCTGCCACACTATGGCACTAGTTAGATTCAACACCGTAAATACTCTGCATCGCTCGAAGCAGGAAAGAGGAGAGAATCCAGTCTCAAGGCGCAGTTTATAGCGATGCCTTTGCAAACCTCTGATATTCGCGAAGTATGAATGCCTCGTATGTGGGAGGCATATGGATGTTATGCGGTTGAGAAAATGTCTTCACGGCATGGATATATATTTCCGTCGAGTCCAACTACTACCCTACCCGCTGCGAGATGGTTTTGCGAGATACATGGCCTACTTCCCCTTAATATAGGCGAAAACTCGAAGGAACATAGCTAGGCTAGACTACCCGGTGTCAACCGACCTCTTCCCATGTAAACTGTGGAGAGTACAGGAGTTACGTGGGCGACACTGAACTCAACAGGGAAAGGAAGAGATCTGCAAAATGTTGCCTGTCACATCCGATTCCGCGGCAAAGAGGGTGTAACACTACCTTTAGAATGATCTGACGTGCCATAACACGATACTTGAAAAACGCTATTGTTCTAGGAAGGAGTGTACTTCATACTCGTATCCTGGTGGGGTGTCATTTAAGGCACCCAATATATCCACAACGTTCACCTTCGCATAATCGAGCTCTAGGCCCGAAATATAACTAGACGACTACGATGACAATATATTTATGTTACATATCTAAGCAGTGGAGACGTCTGACATCCGAGGTGACACAACCAAAAGACTTACATAAGAATACTTTCATGTTATAATCTCCCCCCACCCCTCCTCAGGAGTCCAACAAGCTCAGTGTCCAGATCATCAACACAAAATGTCACTGTTCTCACTGTCCGGCAAGACTGCTATAATCACCGGCGGTACCCGAGGCATTGGCCAAGCAATCACCCTCGGACTCGCTGAGCACGGCGCAGACATAATCCTCGTCCAGCGCTCGACAAATGTCTCCGACACCCAACCAGCCGTAGAACGGCTTGGTAGGCGCTGTGAGGTGGTGCAGTGTGATCTTGCCGACCGCGAACAAGTTGAAGGACTGATCAGCCAAGTCGTCGCCACTCATTCAGTCGACATCCTCATCAACTGCGCCGCAATTCAACACCGCAGTCCGGCGGTGGACTACGATACACTCCATTATGAAGCGGTAATGCAAACCAACTTGAGAGCTCCATTCGTTCTATGCCGCGATATTGCCCGCCACTGGATTTCGCAGGGAAAGCGCGGCAAAATCATCAACGTGGCCAGCGTAGGCAGCTTCCAGGGCGGTATCAACGTTTCGGGGTATGCGGGAAGCAAGGGGGGCTTGCTGCAGTTGACCCGTGCGTTCAGTAATGAATGGGCTGGGAAGGGGATCAATGTGAATGCCATTGCTCCAGGGCATGTGATCAACTATGTGTTCTCAGCCAGGAGTCCCTTTCAGAAATACTGACTCGGAGTTATTAGGTACATCGAAACCGATATGACTGCTGATACCCTGACGGAGCCACAACATGCGGCCTATCGTGAGTCTATTATACCACGAATTCCAGTGGGCAGGTGGGGGAAGCCGGAGGATATGAAAGGGGTCGCAATTTTTCTAGCTAGTCAGGCAAGTAATTATGTTAGTGGGGAGGCGATCGTGGTTGACGGGGGTTGGTTGGCACGCTGATCTATCATGCCTATGAATTGGAGTGAGTGCGCTCCACGGTATCCATCTGACATATCACTTGATTCTCCCCGTATAATTTTGCGACTTATAATGCATAACTTTCTAATTAGTTACATGACACGTAGCAAACACAGCTCTATTCATTGTATCCACGGAGCTCGATCAATTTCGCTCATATAGATCGGGTTGAATGGAAGAAAGCTCCTTTATCAGTCATGACATAGTATAGCTCATGTTTGCCGTAGACGCTGAAGGAATGAGCCATTTTATGTCCCAAAGCTGGTACACTATTCCGAGGCGAGTAGTGATCGATACTGGCAGGCACTCCTTAAGCTAAGCACTTTCCTCTCTTAAGCTTTCTTCCTTCGCTCTCGGATCCTTTGTTAATGTCCATCGCGTGCAAGAAACCAATAAAAACCATAGGACTGGTGCCGCTGCTGTTAAATACTAGGTAACCCATGTCAGCTCGTCAGAATTTAATAGAGGCAACGGCAACCGTACAAATACTCGCGTCACAGCGGTGCTGTATGCAGAAATGACCACTGGGATCTCCGTAGAGGGGACAATAGAGCGCCATCCCGAAGCCCCTCGGATATCACATCATTGGCGAGGGCCGAAGAAGCGACATCGGCAAGTTCTTTCTTGAGCTGGGCTTGGAAGACAATAGCCAGAAATATGGCACAGCTTGCGGAGATGACGAAGAGAAGGGTGGTCGCACCCACAGGCACGAGAACGTGCACGGTAGACCTGACCATGGTGACGTAAGAGAATATCCAATGCCGCCTAAAACCTGGAATCCTATCCAATGACCATCGGATATAGAAGGATGCAGAGTCGTCAAAAGCCCACCACCAAGTGATACCATTGCGGTGCCAAAAATAAGGAAAGGGCTCCACCATCCTAGCTTGTTCACCAGACCCGCTGCGATTAAGGAGGTAAGGACGTCCGATATGACGGTGGGCAAGTACCTGACACCACTTGAGGTTGGGGAAGCCCCAAGAACAGCTTGGAACCAGATTGTAAGCCAGTATATGATACATTGGAACGCTCCATTTGCGAAGAAGGCAGAAGCACAAATAAGAGAGACGTTTCTGCTAGAGGTGAACAGTCGGGGAGAAATCAAAGCTGCTTCCTCCATATGACATTGCCATCCAACAAATATGCACATCACTGCCCCAGCACCTGCGAATAATCCAATGATATTTGCCGAGTGCCAGGTGTATTCCTGTCTGGTCCCACCAAATTGTAGTGCGATTAGCAGCATGCTAACAGAGCCAGCAAAGAGCAAAAAGCCAACACCATCCAAACTCCGTAATTTTATCCCCAAGGGTATACTCTCGGTGGGAGTCCTTTTGACGTGGAAAAATAACAGTATAACGATGGCAGAGAATCCGGCGATAGGGAGATTGATGTAGAAACACCACCGCCATGTAACATGTTGGGTAAGTGCTCCTCCGAGAATGGGCCCGACAATGCTTGCAATGGCAAAGGTCGAGTTTAGAGTTCCAGTCCAGACTGCCCGCTTGTGAAGCGGGATCACGGTAGTCAAGATAACCAATCCACCAGCAAAGTTCCCGGAAACTCCTAGGCCAGCAATAGCCCTTCCCACTATGAGGACTGGGGATGACGGAGCAAGCGCACATACTAAACTCCCGACCTCAAACAGAGCAACATAGCTCAAGTAGGCAACCTTTATCGAAAACAAGCTGTAGGTTTTGCCAGCAACGGGTTGGCCGGAACATCTACACATGCGCATTAGGTGAACACTTCGCTTTCCTAAGGATCTATCAAATCCCTGGTTGGTACTTACAGTGAAATGAAGAACGCGCTTCCATACCAACCCACATCTCCGATTGAATGGAAGTCCGAAGTAATGACTGGAATTGCCGTTGCGATCAAGTTGAAGTCCTATTACGACTATTAGCTACACTTATCTAGACAGCATGAGTGAAAAGGGGCTCTACCAAGCCAACCAGGAAGGTGCAGAGGCAGAGACCAAGGTGAAGAAGAAATAGCTTGGGGCCTTTCACTTCGTTCTCAGGGTCTATTCCTCCGTCTGTTCGAAGAACCCCGTCCGTGGAAGAGTCTTTCTCCACGCGCAATTCCAAGGGTGCATCGCTTCTCGCGAGGTTGTCCATTCTTGATGGTCCTTTGATCAGGCCAGTTGAAACGATGCTGGAAGAAGGCAAGAGAGGAGAACAGCAAGGACCATATCGCGTCTTCCGCAGTAGCTAAATGGCTGAGCAGGAGCAATAAGTAGAACGTCCGAGAGGGCAGAGATTGAGACTGGGAAAGCCCAGTTCCTCCTATGCCCCTGATTAAGATATCTGGACAGCAGAGGCTAGCATACATAGAAAGATAGACAAAGAGCAAATCCTTTCGTTCTACGCTTAGCTGCATCCTTGATTTACATTCTTACGGCGGCTAAGGGGACAACTTGACCGATGATGTTGGTATACTTGATCGCATTGACTTTGGTGCATAGTCCATCGTCATAAGCGACAAGAAAAAACAGCGGATTAAAGTACATCCAAGTTCCTGGTAGACGGAGGGATTCCAGCAGAAGTATTGAGAGAGGGAGAGACTTATTATCTTGCGAAGCTAATTGACACTTTACCTATCGCTTCGGATGCCCAATGCATTGGAATTTAGCATATATGACAGTTGTTGGTTGCCAGTGAGGCCCCTGTCCCAACAGTACCACGTCCTGTTGTGATCGGTGCTGCCATTCATAGCCGAGCATGATACGCCCTCATAATCTATAGATGCCAATAAAACCCATTTGTTCCAGTCACATCTACCAGGGCACTTTAAAAGGAGTGCATCCTGTCAAATGTGACCGGAACCTTCCCCGTGCATTAGTGTTTAGCCTAGCTCGCGCCATTCATTGGACGGCACGTATCTCCGTAGCAGCTCAACACCCCAAGCATGTCGCCGAATTATTGGAGCCAACAATATCAATATTATAATTGACCAATAATCATATTTAGATGGCTAACAATCGCCGATCACGGCCGGGGAAGGCAGCCGCCTGACACCACAGCGAGGCTGAAATATCCACGGAACACGAGTAGATGCCCGGTAGACAGTGTAGACGTGAACAGTGTGACGGCTGAGGACAATCTGCTGTAGATACTGCGAAACGTTGTCCTTAGCATAGCTCGGTCTGATCTTCACTGCGATGTATTGAGGGAACCAAAATCATATGTAAAGCTCGTAATCAATATTAATTCTGTCCGCGGCGAACCAATCTCTGCGAGTATCCAATCCTATATTATCTAGACGTAGTTATCCTAACTATTGAAGCTAGCACTGCTGCTGCTCGATAACGTTGGCTATGTACTCCTGGTACTCATGGAAACTCTTGATACCCTTCGGTTTCCCATTTGGTTGCAGTCCCTGCTCCTCCATTAGGTTCGACCGAATTTCCATGGCCTTTAGCCACGAGGGCCTGCTCTCCATGCGCTTCTGCCATGCCTGCACGTTCGGGTATGGCGCCAAAGGATCCTCCCCGGACGGAGTAAGCAGAGCCATGGGAAGGCGGGTATTCCAAGGGAGAAATGCTAGGTCTGCAAATGTACATTTGTCCCCAACAAGCCATTCGTTGCCTTCAGGGATCGTGTCAAGAACGCTTAACACACGATGGACCTCTTTGACGTAGCGATCAATAGCAGACGGAAGCTTTTCGTGATGTAGGACGTTGAACCTGGATGGTGATAAATTAGCACTGGCCTGATAGGGTGCTAGCATATACAGAAGGCTAGAGAATGCTAACGAACCATCCACACTGCCCAAAATATGGGCCCTGTCCGCTCATCTGGAAATGTAGATACTGATTGAGAAGATGCTTCTCATTCACCGAGTCGTAGGTGAGTTTCTTATCCTTATCGTATACCTCCTCCAGATATTGAATGATTGCCCCAGACTCCCACAACGTCAGATTGGTATTGGGTCAACGATTGCTGTCCGTGCAAGTTAGCCTGCTGAACCATTCACAAATGCTAATGTACATGGCTCGAAGAGAAGAAAGCATGGGGCAACGGACCTGGGACCCGACCGTTGGGGTTGATATTGATGAAGGGGGGTTTCTTCAGATCGTCGAACTTGAACGATTCGATCACATACGGAACTTGCAGTTCCACAAGGATGACAATGACCTTGATAAAATGTGGTGTCAATCCACGATAAATTCTGCGATATGAGTTTACTGACCTTCCATGGATTCGGTCCAGGGGCTAAATCCCACATTAGCAAGCAACAATAGCCATGGCCAGCGCCGGAAACACGGGATTGATGCAGGATTATAGGACCAGGGGTGCCTTACGGGTCAACCAGACGGTAATAGGCTTGGTCATGTTGTTGATGGAAGGGAGTTCACACAGCAGTGAATTCGCAGATGATGAGGGAGGTACTAGGTAGAGTGGGAGACACCTTCTTATGTTTGTGCTAAGGAGCGTTCAGAAAGGTGAGTGTTCTGGTCCCGTCCTAAGTCACGAAGTGATGTGTTTTGGGCTTGTTTAGCACGACAGGGATTCCACAAGGCTGTCCGCTGTGGTCATTTCTTTGTTCCATTCCTGCCTAGAGTCATATGGACTCTTGTAACGTAAGCCACCCTCGATGTTGGCGTGTCTACACTAGAGCTGGTTAGTTCTATTTAGTGCTTATTACGGCATCTATAGTCCACCGGGGCTACTCGGAGGTGTAGTGTTGGCGTACAGCGAAATGTACGGAATACGAAATAATACACCTCATATATACTCCTTGTCCATTATTAAAACTGACGGAATTCAAGAGCAACATCGGTTCGACAATGGCGCAGAATACATCAAATTAACTAGATAAATTATGACATTGTCTTGCCATCCATCAGTCGAGGGATCAATCAGGAAGCCGAGCAAGGTCTCATGGAGATGCATCCTCATTCCTCCTGGATTTATTCGGTTGGTGTCAGCTCTTATACAAAAGCTTAGGCGTCGGGATTTAGAATTGTAATGAACTATCCAACAGTAATAAAGACTACTTCAACTTAGTCCCGACTCTTTCCAGTCAGCCCTTAACCGGGGTATATATGTTTTCTTGACCTTGGAAATTACTCCGTGCCAGTCACGTGTGATCTCGTGGTTAGCAATAGCATTGATTTGTGTATCCAGTGTGACGCAACATGACATAGGAAGAGGAAGTGAAGGTGAGAAGCTTATCTGTACTGGGTCAATGACTATACAAACGCGGCTGAAGAGAGCAGTGACTGTTCAGACAGACCCATTTAAGCTATCACATGTCTAACTGTGTTTCTGAAGGAAGACACAAAAAAGTCGTCGGACGATTCTATGGGTTAATCCAGTAGAGAGAATGCTTCTTACAAAGGTATTCCGAATTACTTAATTCTTGAAAGCGGCGACTTCTCCTCGGGTGGATGTGTAGGATGCGTAGGACGCGATGAGACGAAAACGAATATATTGAGCCACAGCCACACCCCAGTAGCATCTCTTCGGGAAGTGCTGCCAAAGATACAATGTACTGTCCAATTCTTCACTAATCTTCTCGCACTTATAGAAAGAGTAGCTTCTGCCTGGTGCTTCAACAAGCAAAAATAAGGACTAAATTGGATGAATTACGGACAAAAAACACACTCCCCTTAAAGCCCTTCTGATGGCCGTAGTCTACTACGCAGATAGCCCTTGCAGCACTGGATAAGGAGCAAGACTTATTTAGTTAGGATTGAAGGCGAATAATGTCGCTGCTGCTTTCGTAATCAAGAGGCTAGGAAATATAAGCTACTTCAAGAATCGTATTCATGCTCCCAGCGAGACTCAAAAACCGCAGCTTGGTTGCAACGCCTAGACAACATGCGCATTCTCTGTCTACACGGCTATGGCACGAGCGCCGAGGCCCTCCAATATCAACTGTCGGGCCTGCTTCATTCGGCAGATCCTAGCTGGGAGTTTCATATGCTATCCGGCGAGATTGAATGCCCGCCTGCACCTGGTTTGCAAAACCCTTTCAGAGTCCTACTGAAGAGAGAGAAGAGCTAACCACTATCGTTTGACACGCTCGAAGGCATCGAAACATCATTTACTCCCCCATATTACTGCTGGTCACGCACGTTTGACGCACCATCCATCGAGGATGCTCATGCCTTGATTACGGAAGCGATAGAGGATCAGGGCCCCTTCGATGGTATACTGGGATTTAGTCAGGGGGCATCAATCGTTGCCTCATTCCTTCTCGAACACACCGCTAGCCACACCGACGAACCGCTCCCGTTCCGCTTTGCTATCTTCTGCTCGACAACAATTCCCTGTTCCTCGGATCCTAACTACTGCCACTCCTTAATGGGAGATCTGTCTCAGCAGGATGAGGAGCGGATCCGTTCCGGGCAGGACGATCAGCTTGCACAATTGCCCGCATCCATCAAGGCACCAATGGAAGAATTTGTCAAGGTGATCAAGGCAGGCCGGTCGATTACTCGCGAGCCAGTTCGCTTTTTTCTAGACCGATCTATCGAAGAAATCCCCTGTGCCTTACACCCGGACCATTTTACGGGCCGCCTCTCGATCCCTACCTTGCATCTACGGGGTCATAATGACCTTCCTGGGTTATCTGACTGCGCCTCGTTAGTAGAGAAATTCTGCAACCCCAAGTGTCGCAAGACTATTCTCCATTCTGCCGGACATGATATCCCGAGAAGTGGGTCGGAGCTGAGGCAATTCAGGGCCGGATTGGAATGGTTAATTGCGCAGAGCCAGTTGGCACCTCAGTAAGATGGCGAGACCAAGGAAATTGTCTTTTATAGTTTTGGTGGCGTTATTATATAGAAGAATGCCTTTTTCTACATTGTCAATGCGTGTGCCTTACATGCAAAAGGTACTTGAAGTTGTGTTCCCGAACCAGCGGTAGATATGTCTCAGAATATTTCCAGCAGATCTCCAGAGAGCATTGCGGGCAGTTTGTGCGGTGTAACTTTGGTAGCGGGAATTCCCGCTCCATCTATAATGCTCCATAATGTGCCGAAGAATGTAATGTGCAGTGGTTACCCAGAACTTCCATTGGTGCAGGATGGGGGCTGAGCTACACTTCAAGATGTATGGTCTAATGGCAAAATGCATCGGCCCCCGCCCAGTACAAGATCGATGGCACTGGTAAATGAGGCCCAGGCCCAGATCATCCTCATGGACCAAGGTTGACCTGCTGAGTGCTGAGCATTACACCCTCACCTCCTTGCAGTGTTCTACCTTCAAGGTGCAGGAGGAATCAAGGAAAACTCTTCGGCGCGATAACCTTAATTAGGCTTTAGAGAGACTATGCGCTCTACTTATGGGCTTTCTCATAGAAGGTGTCTCAGCTGTAAGAGTCCAGATTTGACAGACTAGAGAAATCTTCGGCTGTCCAGGAAGCACACAATGCAACTCAAGTACTAGAGAACCCCTAAGACCGAGCTGGGTCACTGCGATGTGGCCTGACTGCGACGCGTGAATGCTGAAGCAAGGGGGGAGGGAAGGGGGCTCGTGATGAAGAACTCACGTGCTGGGTTCGCCAGCGGTGCACGCTTGGAATCTGGCTGCTGCATTTCTATATCTGTCATCTTTAAGTGTGATATGCACAATGAATACAATTGCCCTGAGCGGAAAGCATGCTACTCACGACCCACATCGATCCAGACCTTGTACCCACTGACATTCTTGGATATGCAGGTTCCCGGATCTGTAAATAAGCTGAGCAATGATCAGTTTTTTCTGTCTACGTCACAGGGAAACTTTTCCCGGAGATCGGATCGATCCAGCCCAGCTAATCCGGCTACGTACGACCGATGGTCACAGCCCCTAGCAGGAATTTAAGCGGCCATGGGTAACGAGGCGTTGCATTGTTTGTGGTAGCCGGTCACTTTGCTGTGTTGATTTACGACACACGAGGGCGAAGCAAATATACTTAATGGCTTTCATTCTGAGATATATCGATTGTAGCAAGCTTAAAAAGAGCAGGAGTATTAAGTAAGTATCGTATAGTAGCTGATCAAGTCAGACCTGCTCGATTGGCGTCCTTTCACCAGACACCGTGCTTGTGCCAAGGGTCTCTGCTGTCCGAATACTAGTCTCGGCAGCCACAAGAGAATTACGCTTTCGTGGAGTACAGCATCTGTCTTAGTTTCAACCTGATCCTGAGAATGGCTGAGACATATCTTGCTAATTCTAGGAGCATGTACACGGGAAAGCTCTATTAACCTTGGTGACTTCAAGGCGAGCTCAGCAACAAAGCTGTAAACGAAAACATGACTTGCAACCAATTACGGAACCCGAAGGTTCCCTGTTATTAGGCGCATTTGGAAGGTTTTGAATAAGCCACCCTTGAAAGACGGCCATACAGGAATCACGCGAAGCCGTTCCTTGCAGTGTCCATTGGGCTTCTCTATTGACTCAAAGGGTTGTATACGTAGCACTACATACGTTCCACTCCTCAGAACAGAGTATGAAACCAGTAATATCAAAATGCCGAGTTTGTTGCAGTCGGCAAATTTTAGGCTAGCAATTGACAGGAGTAACTAAAAATGAGGAAGACCCAGAGGAATGTAGCAGCCATGTACACACACTACATTGAACTGGAAAAGAACAATGGCGTTGCTTTATTCTGCAGGAAAGCAAAAACCCCTTGTTGCTAGGATATTCGACTGCCACTTGCGTAGACCTGCGTGGGCTCTGTTCTGGTACTCGAAGGCGCAGAGCCATTTCAAATGACTATGTCAGGACAATACGCAGCCTTCTTCATGACCTTTTTTGATGACTGCCATGGCATGCAGTAATACCTACGCCAGAGACATGAAGTTGGAACATGGAGTCGGAAGGGAGCAAGCTATCAGTTAGGATAGTATCGAATCTGCCGCTACAAAGACCATCTAGGATTGCCGATTCCATCTACCTTGACGCTTAGAAGCAAGCAGTGTCCTTGCGTGGTTTTGCAAGCCTTGCATAGTAGTCGTCATAGCATGGGGCAGAAAGTTCGACAAGCGTCTAACTACTCCTACGCTCTGTGACGGGCGGTGGCAGTGCTGGCAACGGGTTAATCATTATATGATGTAGGTTGTGGTAAAGACAGTATATACGTATAAAGAATGGAAGTGGCTCCAAAATGTGCCGAACAATAGAAGGAGTGACGGAAGATTAGTGAACGTGAGGTTACTTGATTAAGAGACCACCCTAGTGCATTGAGGTAACACGGCGTCTTGACGGCCTACCACTATGAACAATACATCATCATGCCCGGAGCCTATTGCAGTGATAGGCCTGGGCTGCCGTTTTTCTGGCCAGGCGGCATCATTAGATGGCTTCTGGGAGATGTTGCGGGATGGACGAAAGGAACATGG